CCCAGAGGTGGGGTATTAGAAATATAGGAATACAAATCTAGATACTAGGAGCAACCAGGGCTAGGAATAATTTATGTCTTTCCAGGAACTTGCAAAGAAGGTGTCAGAGATCGAGCATATATAGTAGCTTGGGTGTTTGGTCGCTGACCAAACATTGTGCCTTCTTGGCCAGCTGGCGTAGTGGTACAACCCAAGCACCCACGATCTGTCACAGAAGGTGACTTGCGTAGGGACACACCGGGGAGTTGGGACACACCGGAGAGTAAGAACACACTGGAGAGTAAGGACACACCGGAGAGTAGGTCACTGGAAAACCCGGGTGGGGCAATGAGCGCGACACTAAAATTTGTGTCGCGCTCTTCCTTTTAATCCTTTCCAGTGTATTCACATGCCCACTTTAAGGAGACAATGAGAGTTTTCTTGATCACCGAATGGCAGCCTCGCCTTTCAAAGATGACAGTGCTATTAGGGATGCGCAAAAATCGCGTTTCAACATTTTGAATATTTCCAAAAAGGCCAGGTGGACACTGTTTCGGCGAGTAAGAGATGCAGAAATGGATGCAATGTATGATTGGGTTATCTGGTAGGAGTACTGGACTGCACAACCTGAGGCCAGCCCAATATTACCGTGCAGCGACAGCTGATGGTAGTAACGCCTTCTTCATAGTTTCCGAGCATGAAGAGAAGAAGCTTGCGGCAGAGGGTCGAGTTATAAAGGAGAAAAATCTCCTACGGATGGCATCTCGAGTATTAGACCGGCTAGAGGTTGGCAGGGATCCTAAGCGATCATGAGATACTCCTTTCAGATATTGACTAGACCTAGGTGGCCTGAAATAAGAGCGTACTGCCGATAAGATGTATGACACCCCGAGAGAAATCTAATAGGAGTGGTACTGGGATGAAAAACTGTTTTTGTGTCTATGATAGAGCTATGTAGCGTATACTGGACTAGGAGAGAAGTAGTACCAAGAGCCAGCTCATATGACGTTTTCCCTTCTGTGTGGCCGGTGCTCTTCGGTGGGACGTACTGTGACTGATTTCCTCTCAAGAGGATTCTCCTATAAGCTGAGCCCTCTCGAAAGAAGTCTCTTATTCTGGGCCTTCCAAGTGACCCTCACTCTTGAAATGAGCTAGCTGAAGATACTCTGCTGTCCCCGTCCTTTCATGTTACCACTTCCAATCGTTCTAGGCTTAACCCAGTCTTGAGATAGTCTAGAGGCGACCAGGAAATGCGCACGACGGTTCTCAGCCAGATACTCACGCTGTCCCAGTGAGGGCTGGTGTCATTGGCTTATCAGCTGAAGGGTGGGTCCCCGCAGTGGCCTTCGATTCGGTGGTGGTCTGCACCCCTCCAGCAGCTGCTTCCTTTTCAGCAGTGTGCTAATTCCTCGAGAGCCTCGCAATATAACCTCCAAACTTTGAAGCAGCCTCAGTTATGCGACTATGGTCCGAACGACACGTAATGGCTCGGACATTCTGCCATGACTCGCGTTATTGACGACCACAAACTCGCTAACACGTCGCAAACTACTGAGGTATTGGACTATTCGTGAGTGTTGTCAAGTTATAATCAAGTAAAGAGTCATCAAAGTTCCAAAGCGTCTTCCCGTAATTGGTGTCACCACCTACACTCTTCGATTGTTTCTCGAACTTTAATTGCCAAGACAGGCTAATCTACATTGGGTGTTTTCCCGAAGTACCCTGCAGCGGGGCCTGTATTGTGTCTTACACAGAATAACAAGGACATATGGTGGGGTGTATTCGCTTGTCATTTCGATACACCTGACACCTCGAGACCCCACGTTCAATAACCGTCGTCCCTTGGTAAGTGCTCACAGCAGGATGATAATGTGCAGAATTTCGCAGATAAAGCCATATAGCCCTAAACCCAAGGTCTCTATTTAGTCCGATGAAAACAACAATAATGCAGGTACCGGGCGAGCAGCGGCGAATGAGCGACCCGCGTGGTGGTGCGCTCAATTCGTACTCAAGCCACTTCGTTTTGTACAGTCGCGCGCACAAACGCGATCCTTTCTCTCACCTCGTTCGTCTCAGGGTACACGGCGGTAGGAAAAACCATGATTGATGTAATTCTACCCAAGACTCGTATTGAATGCTACTAACCGGCCCTTACATTTTTTACCAAAATTACAGACCCTCGCATAGCGAGGGTCCTTCACCCATATGAACAGGATCATCTAAATGATCAATTTTTTCAATCTTCCACTTTAACCTCACTTTTACATACCACCATGTAGTAAATTAATTAATTAAAAATAGTAAAGAAATCAATTAGCCATTTTACTACTATAATACAAAAACAATTTAATCTCCCCGGCGTTTTTTGGCTCTTCCATACTTCCTGATTTCGATCAACACCTTCTTCCACTTCCGCTTGGTCTTTTCTTGATCCGCCTTTTCGTCCAATTTGTATTCCTTTCGCTTCATTGCTTTCACCTGGGTGGAAGATATGATACCGGTGATCTGTATATGACGGCGGGAATTGTCATATCTGGCGTGGCGCGCTCCCATAATAGCCTGGGTACGATCGAATTCCCGCTGTAGCTGGAGAGCTAATACAGCCTGCGCTTCAGCGCCCTTTGCAAGCTTTTCTAACCCGTCTTTAAAACGCTGAGTGGTAGGATCGTACTGACTGAGACGAGAGCTAATCCTTCGAATTCTCTCAGCTGTTTTTGGAGTGCTGAATTCCGTGTTTTGAGAGCCAGTTGACGGGGTATCCAGCCGGGGTAAATTGTCATGATATGGATCGTACGACTCCAATTCATCAGTAATAAGCTTAGAATTAATAGGCCAGAGGCCTGTTAATTTAAATCCAAGCTTAATTGTATGCGGCCGGAAGGTTTTTCGTCTGATTTCGGCGATACAATGTAGGAATTCATCCTTTGAGAATTTGCGGCATCCAGTCATTGTAGCCGCTTCAACAGCCTCACTATGCCAGTGTTTATAGACGCTAAACACTCCTACATCGAGAGGCTGTAGTATATGGCTGGTATGTGAGAGTAAGAAGAATAAAATGATATTATTCTTCTCACAAAATTCAATGAATTGGCGTGTTAAATGGGAGCCAAAACGGTCGCATAACACCAGCCGTTTTCCACCAAGCGTACGATTAATCGTCCACTTATGGAATAGCTGAATCCATTGATATGCCAATTGATCATTGATATAACCGGTATCAGTTACCGCTATATGCTCATCTTCTTTGATAGTGTCAAACCAGCGTAGTAATACCTGCTTTCCACTTAAAATAATAAGTGGTGGACAGGTAAAACCATCAGCAGAAACAGCCTCTAAAACAGTGATAGATTCTCGATTGGTGACAGATCCATTGAATAGCTTCTTTTTTGGCTCTCTTGTAATAATGAATTGATCTCGTCCGACGCCAATTTGAAAGCCAGTTTCGTCAAAATTGTAGATGTCTTGTTGGCATATACCATGCTCAGTCACCACACGTTGATAGTCTTGAAACCACCTTTCCACCACAGTTTTATCAAGTGCAGAAGCTCTCTCGACGTCAAGAGCTCGCCGGCGTCGTATATAGTACTCGGGATGCCGTTTCATAAAACGTTTTAGCCACTGGTCGCCGATCTGGGGGGGTTTTGTGGCCGAATCGGTATGGTTATCCTCGAGAATTGAATTGGCTGCGATAGCAATTTGACGACGATTTATCGATGCTCCCACGGAGTCAAAGTAATCGATATATTCACATAGAGCCTTCTCCTGTCCAGGACTTAGTTTCCGACCGTTGGGTTGACGCTGAAAAAGCGATTTTCCACCTAACCACCGGCGTCGTAGTCGTCCAATTGGAACCGCGAATTCTCGTGCAGTTTTCGAGATATTAGGTTTAGATTGCTCAGAGAGAGAGTCGATAGCTTTAAGAATCAGATCCTCTATATCTCTGTTGTCTTTAGGCATGGTGGGTGGGGTGGTTAACAATTTAAGAGAAAGTGGTAGGATTTAAAAAAATTGTTCATTTAGATGATCCTGTTCATGTGGGTGAAGGACCCTCGCTTGCGAGGGTCCGTATTTTTGGTAAAAAAAAAGAGGGGCCGGTTACTATACAACTCACCCGGGTCCACTGACTCGTGGAAAACCTTCACGGCCCGTACCTTCGGGTCTTCCTTTGTTTACTGCCCCACCGTTGTCCCCAGTCGCCAGAAATGATTGGACCACCCAGGGAGGCCGGGAAGAGGAAACTCCAATACGCGTTGACGATTTTGTCCTGCAGAAGAGAGGGAAAAGCATTTCCAGTCACACTGCACTACCTCTACAGGCATAACTTACTACGAAGTAGCTGCCGCCCGTCACACCTAGAAGTTTGGATCTCGTGGAGTCGAATTTGTAGACGAGCTGCATTTATCTGTGGCTAATGTCTTCCTGTTGACCTCCGTCTGGCTGACCTGACTGCATCCTGAGTCGCATCTGTGCCTACATCCGACCACAATCCTGTTCAATCAACCCAAGCGCAAGAGTCGCACATGGGCACCAGCCCGGTTTGTTCAAGATAGATGCAGAAGACCCACTGTGGGCCGCCCAGAAAATCCTACACCGACCCAGGATGCCTATGGCATCACATCCATACACCCGGCAGGAATCTTGACACCAACCTTCAGATGTGGGCTACGAACGTCCTATTTGTTCAGAGCCACCCGACCATCGACTTCCTTCTACAAGGCGTTTTCCAGAGAGAAGCATGAATCCAAAGTATATGCCGTCGTCCGACAACTCTTTCATCAGCAGCCAACCCGTGCCACAAGCGCTACCATTGCGAATGCATCGCCATGCTCCATCTGTCTCTGAGTTGCAGGAGCACCCTGGGCAAGCAATACCAAGTCCTTTATTAAGTCATGACCGCGGATACGTTGGTCGTCCAGTGAGGACAGGTGACGTAAACTCCCAGTGAGGCCCCCTTCTTCGTTTCGTCATGATTAACAGCTCATATATTCGGCGGTCTGTCCCATAGTAGCGGTCCCGCAGCGATGCCCAGCCCAGTCCATCCTGACAATACGCCCCGTACTTTAAAGGAATCAGCCGCGCCGGCTAACGCCCAGCAAGAACAGAGACCGCGAAACCCCAATTACAGCATCCCACGTGGCTTCGAAAAACTCCTTCATCAAGATCCCAAGATTTCCGCTCCTACAACACTCCGAAAAGAGTCTACACAGAGAAGATATCATCTTCACGTTCGGCAGCAACCCACCGCCGCGCGAGCCTGCGGTGCGGCCGTTCGAGACCGTCGACCGGTCGATCCACCTCCAATAGTCCAAATTCTCCTTTCAGACTTCGACCCAGAGTCGTCGGATGACCGCGACATTCTGCAAGATCCACGATTCACAGTTGGCTGTTTGTTATTCCCGATGTCAGACTCCTCCAGTCGGCCACAACCCCCCAAACCCGAAAAGTACCGCCATCCAGAACGAGATAGAGAGAGTGACGGCGTTGCTCGTGCAAATGACACAGACTTAATACCCCTTCTCTCTGGCAATGCGTTTGTGTCCCCGTTCCACGTCGACGCAGATCCCGACCCTAACTCCGCCCCTACCCATCCCTCCTCCCACGACACAAATACAGGGAGTTCAAATGCGTCAAAGCTTTATCAGCCTGCTACCTTCTTCATCTTCACTGATCTCTCCATCCGCTCTGCCGGGCTGTACCGCCTCAAGTTTCGACTCATGAACTGGGGCTCCGTTGAGGACACGGGGCAGTCGATGCCTATTCTTGCGGAAGCTTGGTCTGATTCGTTTCGCGTGTACCCCGCGAAGGATTTTCCGGGAATCCGTGATTCGTCTATTCTTGCAAATGGGTTGAAGGAGATTGGGTTCGCGGAGTTGAAAATTAGAGGAAAGGGTAAAGGAAAGGGGCGGAAGAAATGATGTCGCATTTCTTTTATTATCACGGTCTTTTTCTTGTTGCTGTCCCAACTTCGATGCGCATTCTTGAGTTTGGTTTGGAGCAGGTATCTTTCAAGTTTTTTTTCTGTGTGTCCACTTGAGGGATTAGGGTGCAGTGGGACCTCTGTTCCCTTCCAATTCGGAAATGGAAAAACGCTCGGCACTGCAGTCTTCTCCGCCTTGTCATGATTATGCCGCTCAACGATGTCCAATTAAAGCTGAGATTCGAGCCGTGGTTCAGAGAATGTCCTCGTATGCGGGCAGTCTCTTTTCCGAAGCGCAGCACGATTTGTTTTGTACAAAAGTCAAGACAAAAGTTCAGAACGCGGCCGAAGTTTGGCTTCCAATTCAGCAATCGCAAAAGAAGTTCGAGACAGACTTCGAACCTTTTGATCCCGAGGACAATGAATGAGATCGCTTCCCTTCTACTCGTAAAAATACAACGCCGGTGGCACAAGACCTTCATGGCCTTTATCTTCCCAATGTCTTCCCGTGCATCTCCTTGGTGGAAGACGGCGACCATGATCCATTGACCAGGATCATTCAACTCCGCAGTTCCCAGGAAATATACTTGGCAGCGCAGCATGAAGCCACTCAAATAGCAACCTCTGCCATCACCAGAAGGTATTCTACCCACCCCAGGAGGCAATCAATTGCAGGCTCAAATGAGAAGCCTTTTTTAGGTGGAAATTCAACCAGGGCTGATTGATGGGTTGTGGAGAAGGGTTTGGAAACGCTGACAGCTCTGGAGACTGAAAGAGAGTATAATGGAGATGAGAATGGCATTTGAGAATTATCAGCAATGGTATATAGACCTCGCAAGGGCCCATGGGCTGCTTGGGCGGTGCCCACGTGGGCGGCCTCGTGGGCGGGCCATGGGCTTGTTTAGCCTGCCCATGGGCGGGCGGGCTATTTTCCTAACCGCCCATGGGCATGCAGTGGGCGGGCCATGGGCTGTAAAAAAAGCAATTATAGAAATACTCGTGACTTGCATAACTTGCACAATTCTTCTTGTAATCTATTGTACTGTTTTATATGATATTAGTTGATCTGGCTTGAGGCTGTCTTGAGGCTGTATTTACATATCTATATAGGATCTGAATCGTTAAATCATGATAATCTGTTAATTAAATAACTATTTTAAAAGTGCTTTGGGACCTCATATCCATCTAAAAGTCTTGAGCGTGTTCTTACTCTTTTAGAAGCTCGCTGTGTACCACTTTTACCAAGTAACACTATATCTATAGGAAGATCATCATCTTCACTATCAGGAAAAGGAGCAGCAGCAGCAGTAGCATCATGATCACTATCCTCGTCGCCTTCTTCTACTTCTGTTCCAAGATCATCATCTCTTCTCCTCTTCTGAGAGGACCGCGGGGGTATTACTGGAACAATCAGACCGGGCGTGTCTTCTAGTTCAAGTTCCTCATCGCTAATCAAATCAACGAGATCATTATCTGGATCCTGCGCGTCTCTTTCTTCTTCCACAATCGCCTTTTCTTCCTTCGTAAGAAAATCCCTCACAAAGGCAAGCTGCTTCTCTTCAATATCGAATCTAGTTGTACACATAAACATCATTAGATCCTGTATAGTTGATGCATTCAGCGACCCACGACGGTAGTGACAGATATCTCGAGCTGAGTTGAACAGCCGCTCCACGCCTGCGCCGGTAGCTGGAATAGAGAGAATATCCCGAGCAAGGCTTGCAAGAACCGGAAATCGGTGTTGATTGTCCCTCCAGAATACCAGAGGATCAACTTGAATAGTTCCTATGGTATATAGTGGTTAGTATTACTCAAATAATAGATACCGAATCACTTACCAGCTTTGAAATACTGGGAAAGCTCATCATCACGAGTGAGTGGAGTGGACGATTTTGGAGCCTGCTGTCGCTCAAGAAGAAGCTGAAACTTTGACGCCCCCTGGCTTGATGATAGAGCCGTTGGCACTGATTGTTTTGTAGATAACCGTTGTTTATATGGCTCCAGTTGCTCCTTTAGCCTCTGGTGGTAGAGCTTCTCCCATTTACCATCTTCACCGGCCCACTCGCCTTTTGTAAAGAAGTCCATCTTGTATTGAGGTGCAAGGATCGTACCAATCGCGTAGTAATCACCATACGTATCGGTAGTCCTAGCATAATACGATGAGAGCTTCTCCTTCGCAGCATGTAATGCAGTATGCATCGACTGCTTCCAAGGAGCTTTCTTATATCGGAGCTGGGCTATCGATAATTTAAGATGGCTAAATAACTGGTTATAGATACTAAAGACGCCATGTATTGTTGCATCTTTAGTCTGGGAGAGAGCAGTTGTAAACTCAAGGAATGGTTGGGTGAGACAAAGAAGATAGTCGATTTGTCGCCATTGCTCTTTGTCTAGCATTAATTCGTGATGCCCATTGACCACACAGAACATATCAAGCGAAGACCGTAATCGCTTAGCCCGTCGGAGCATAAGGAACGTTGAATTCCACCGGGTACGGACATCTTGGATCGGAACTAGCTTCGTTCCTTCGGTCTGGACACCAAGAAACAACTCGCGACGTTGAGGGCTGCTATTAATAAAGATAGCTAAATAGCGGATCTAGAATATAGATTAGTATAGTAAGATAACTATAGAATAGATAATACTATACCTTCTCTAGGGTATACGCAATCTCTTTGCCTTCTTGGGGGAAGGAGGCCCGCGGCTGCGATTTCGGGACCACGTTCTTTCCACTGTCTCGTTCTTTGGATTGGCTTTGATCTGGCCAAGCAACTTATTCAGACTCAGCTGAATCACATGTGCGATACAAGGAACACGGATGATCGTGAATTGACCATTCAGCTCAAGGTTTTGGACCGCGTTATTATCAAGGACTGATTATTTGATGCATTATCAGTTGTCACAGAGAGTACTCGATCTGTGATTTCAAAACGTTGAAAAATCCCGAGTAGGGTGGTACAAAGATTAGCCCCTGAGTGAGTTCCATATATTGGTTCGAAACCAAGTAAGATTTCACGGTAGTTCCAGTCTTTATCGATAAAGTAGCCAGTGATAGCCATAAATGCTTGCTGAAATGGCGATGTCCAGCAATCTAATGCGATTGAAAGCTTTGCACCCAAAGGAAGCTTTTGAAGAAGGTCTTTATGCGATACTCTAACAGTATCTTGAATCCTATTCTTCACTGTGTTGGCGCATGGGAAGCTGAGCACCCCTGGTGCTAACTGGGCGAGGCGAAGAAGCTTTTGTAGCTCCGGGTGCTCAATAATTTGGAAGGGAAGGCGGAGTATAGTAATCACTCGAAGAATTTGTTGCTCCCAGTGCTGTGTAGTAAAGGAAGTAGTGTTGTCTCGGGTGTGAGATACCTATATAAAAAGGTATCAATTAGTAAGAAATCCAGAAGAATAGTACGATATATAATAAGAGCTCACTGAGTCTGCAATTATCTGGCGTATTTGTGGCTGCTTGCCAGCCCTTATACCAGCCCTTTGGCATTTCTGGCCGTCCCAGTGCCTTCTTAATGACTTCGTTCCATTTGAGGTCCAGTTTGGATGGTCAAGGATACCTCCACATCTTTCGCACATAACCTTTGGTAAACCAGAAGAAATATGGGCCACCTGCTTAAAGTGTCCCCAAACTTCTGACTTATTACCAACACCATCCCAACTAAGCTTCTTCTGGTCGCAATTCTCTTCATCGTTCTGCTTATAGCCGTGTTTCGTTTGAAGCCACCACTGTATGAATTCTGCCTTAGACTCTCTACTCATAGTTGCGGAGTATAAGAGAAACCCCCGCTTTCGGTCAGGGCCGACGCGCTGGAGGCTTGGAGGAATCGGAGGAGCCGAAAAAATATCGGTTTCGGTGTTTAAGGTAGGGGGTTCTGAAGCAAGCGATAGATCTGGTGTAAATATATCGTCTGCAAGAGGGTATGCGAGGGCTTGTATGCTTTCTCCCTCAAATATTGACGAGGGATAGATATCAGACTGTTGGGAATCCATTCTTAGGAATTTGAATATAAAGGCAATAGTAAGAGGGCTCAAACTAAGAGGACTTACATGATTTCTTTGCTGACATTAAGAAGGCAAAACGCGTAAAGAAAAACCTCAGGGTAAGAAGCAATTATCCTTCTTATATTGATATATCATAAAGTGGCTATTTCTAGTTAATCCGATTGGCTTAAATTGATAACTACCCGCATACAGCCCATGCGCATGCCCATGGGCCGCCCATTTCCCTAGAAAATTTGATCAGGTACATCCCCCGAGTTTTGGGTCTCATTCTCTTTGACCTTTGATTCAGGACAAAATCACCCTTAGCCTATGCCTCTAAATAAACTAGTGATCTGGCATTTATATTGTAAGAAATTGAAAGTAATTTAAATTAATATCAGGATCCTAGATAATATATATTAAAACTGATCGAAATAGAAAGGAGTGAATGTCTGATGTCTAAAGCAAATGTTCTAAATAAGTTACACATTACAGTGTAGAGATATATATTTTCATTATATCTTCAGATAAATCTATCACTTTTAGGATCAATTGGCCTTAACGCCGAAAATTCAAATCAAAGTGTTTCTTATATCAAATCAATCCCATTATTTTAGATACATTAAGCTTTACCAAATTTTCACAACGAATGTTGTTGATTACTACTAAGAAGCAGCGTTTTGATCAAAACATATGTAAGTAAACAGTATTCAATTCGATGAATCAGCTTTTTATCCATCCTATTTGGGAAAATATGCAGCTGATGGGCTGTAGATGGGCGGCCCATGGGCAGGGCCTTGGGCATCTTCCTCCTGCCCCGTGGGCGACGCGGGCGGGCCGTGGGCCTCTTTCCCCCGCCCATGGGCGGCCCATTGCGAGGTCTAATGGTATGTACTCTATATAATCATTTTTGGGTCATACTCTTCCCACAGTTTGCATTTCCCTGTGTGAAATGATGTCTAAGGTAGCCTCCAGCCGTATCTTTGCAAATGCCGCAATCATCTTGGCAGATTTTCGGCTGAGAAGAAATACCTGAGCATTAAAGCACCAACGGGCCGAGAACGGGCCGAGACGCCCTGATGACAAGGCGATGCATGTGCTGGCAGATGCGTTCGGGGATTTGAAGCCCCACTCCAAAGTCAGGAACGTCATCATTGGCCAGGGGTACAGGTGCGATATCCTTAACCGTAGTGGTCTCCGCAGTGGGCTCTTATTCGACCACACTGGGAATAGCGAGATGCTCTACCGATGTAACCGTGGCTTATAGACGGCTGTTCTTAGCCAGACAGCCACGCTGTCCCAGTGAGGATTGATTTCATTGGCTTATCAGCTTGCTGTGGGAGCGGGTCTCTGCAGTGGCTTTCATTGGGCGACAATATAACAGCGCTGCGGACGCTACACCGTGACTGAAAGCAGAGCTAGGGCCTAGCCGATCACTATAAAGAGCCATGAGAATCCTCTTCGGTATAAAGAACATCGAAGAAAATCTGTGCTCTCTCTGCTATCCTACTATTGAATTAAAAAACCCCGCCGCCTTAGTTATCTTTCTATCTCTGAGTACTCTCTACATAATGCGGCTTGCATATCATATTTAAGTTTGCCCTCTTTTAGACAAAATACACCCGCCTAGGGACCATGCCCTGAAGGCTGAACGGAGTGCTTCCGGCTCACCAAGAAACAATATGCAAAATATACCATCAAGCCAGAGAGAAGATCGGCAGGGCCCGCCGACTTCCAAGAGACCGAGGATCAATATCGTGAGGGCGAGGGTCACGACCCTTTATACCCAGGCACCGCAACCCCGGTGGATCCTGGACTCGGCCGCCACCAGCCACATCTGCTGGGACCGGAGCTGCTTCAGCAGTCTGCGGCCCCACCGCGAGATACTGGACGGCGGGCGATCCAGTGGAAGCCGAAGGGATTGGTACGGTGAAGCTCACGCTCCGGGGGAAGTTCAACCAACCCCTGGTGTTGAAGAATGTATACTTCGCGCCACGCGTTGGGATGAACCTGATCAGCGTGCCGAAGCTGTTACGAGACCGCTACTCGGTGGTGGCGCACCCGCAGAACGTCTTTGTGCAACGCCGAGGACGGACCGTGGGGACCGCCTACCATGCGGAGGAGGATCTGTTGATCCTGCGGTGCCATGTGAACAGAAGATCTCGAGAGCAAGTCCAACTGGCGAGGGCGCCGGCGACCCATGGCCATGCAGATTCCCTGGAACCGCAGGCGGTGGCCATGGACGTCGACGACCCTCAGGAGTCAAGTGACGGAGAATGCGCAACGTCAACCTCTGAACTCGGTGGTGAAGCTGTGATACTCGAAGAAGATGCGTGCAAAGGAGTGGACCAGGCCTCCGAAGCGTTGTGGCACGCTCGGATGGGACATCTGAACCGGGGAGGCTTGAGGGTGGTCTTCCGGCAGACCGGCACTCCGTACCGACCGCTGACGCAGGCGCAGCTGCTGGCAACGCCGCAGTGCCCGGCGTGCATGTCGGGTAAGCAGCATCAGAAGAGGAACTCCCGTGCAAGACGGCCACGTCTGCATTCAACGAGAATTTTTGAAATGATCCATTCGGACATCATGGAGATGCCTATTGCCAAGTCAACAAGGGACTGACTTGACTTCGGATCTTGGGTATTCCATCTATGGTCGCAGACGAAGACCTTCACGGCGTCTCCTGGAGTCACTAGGTAAGGTGTACTCGGCAGGCACATTGAATGCCGCGCCGGCCAGACAAGTCGACCCGGCGTCCTTTCGCGAAGCTGTGTCAGGCCCAGACCAGCTGGACTGGTGGGCCGCCATCCAGAAAGAATATGCGTCGCTTCTCAAACACGGAACATGGGAAAGGGTTCGGCGGGAGGACGTCCCAGCCGGAGATCATGTGATTGGCTGCAAATGGGTCTTCAAGACCAAAGCCAACGGGACTCGCAAAGCGCGACTAGTCATCAAAGGCTACCGACAGAAACAAGGCATCGACTATCACGAAACGTTTGCTGCTGTCTCGCGAATGGACTCCGTCCGCTGCATTGTAGCCAGCGCCGTGTTGCGCGGATGGATACTCCGCCAATTCGATGCGGTCACCGCATTTCTCCATGGAGACGTCGATTCGTCTATCTATATGGAGTTGCCCGAAGGCTTTGAAAAGCCAGGGTACGTATGCCGGCTGCGCCGTTCACTGTATGGGCTGAAGCAGGCCCCGCGGATTTGGTACCAGTGCGTCCACCGCGTCCTTGGCTTCTCATGGCTTCACCATGGCCCAATCGGACAACTGTGTGTTCTACAAACCGGATTGCGTCGTTTGTGTTTATGTCGATGACTTTCTTGTTGCTGCGGCAAACACGCACGAAATCGTACAAGTGCAACGAGCCTTGCAAACAGAGTTCCGACTGAACGATCTGGGCATCCCTCGTTCGTTCCTCGGGATCCAGTTCGACTATCACATCGATGGGTCCGTGTCCATTCACCAACACCAGTACATCCAGAAGGTGCTCTCCGACTTTGGCATGGAGAGTTGTCAACCGAAGTCTACGCCGATGAATCCCAAGCAAATCCTGAATCATCGTCCAGACGAGGAATCTCCGGACGAGGAAGCAAAAGCTCGTTATGCCACTGCCATTGGTTCTTTGATGTATCTGATGGTTAGCACGCGGCCGGATATTGCGTTTGCGCTGGGCATGTTGAGTCGCTTCACGGCTCAGCCGCAATCGCACCACCAAGTCGCTTTGCAGCGATTGCTTCGCTACATCAAAGCCACGCAATCCCATCGTATTACCTACCGCAGTGGGCAGCCGATCGGGTATACGGACGCCGACTTTGGTGGCTCTGTCGTCACTGACGGTGCATACTCGACGTCTGGCTATGTATTCCAGCTTGCAGGTGCGCCAGTTTCCTGGTCGTCCAAGAGACAGGGGGAAGTAGCCACGTCTACGACACACACGGAATACATTGGACAGTATAATGCCATTCTGCATCTGCAGTGGCTCCGCACCTTTCTGGCTGAAACACAACTGTATCGGTCTCCGGTCACCAACATCATGGCTGACAACCAGTCCGCCATTGCTCTTTCTCGCAACCCGGAATTCCACAAACGGACGAAGCATTTCAACGTGAAATTTCACTATCAGCGAGCCGTGCTGGATACAGGCGAGATTGGGCTTCAATATATTCCGACTGAGGAACAGGCCGCAGATGGTCTCACCAAGCCATTAGGGCCCACCTCCTTTGCCAAGTTTTGTAGTCTCTTAGGCATCGACGCCTCAGAAACTCCAAAGCAACATGCATGACAGCACAGGCGCTCTTTCCACTTTCTTTTCCCACGGAGGTTTTTTGAGTGGTTTTACCGAGGCCTGCCTGCTCAGCTTAAATCCAGTAATTTACCGTCATTGCCAGCAATGCGATCCTGAGGGGGAATGTTGTGATCTGAGGCTGGTGCAGATCAGGAACCAAGCCGAACCATCGGAATTAATGCCGAGGTGTCTATACGAAGAATCAAGTTGATTTCCAATCAACTTGATCTTCTCGTTGTATATATAGCCTCATGTTTCCCTCTGAATAAATATAACAATCATACCTCTGAACAACAACTATTCCTATTCCAGAGGGAATACGTAAGGCTATATATACAACGAGAAGATCAAGTTGATTTCCAATCAACTTGATTCTTCGTATAGACACCTCGGGAAAAAATTCCGATAGTGCAGCTTGGTTCCTGACCTGCACCAGCCTTGTATCACAACACTTCAATCAATTCGTCTTCAATTAACTTTTTTTAAATACCCGTATCCTGCGATCTGGCACGTCACCTTGATGGAAAAACCGTGTCACATTAATCGCCCAGAGAAGAACGAGCTGCGTCGTCATTGGAGACAGGCAACATGGCGGCGCTCGTGGCAGGCGTTTCAGAGGGGAGGAATGACTAGCGCGATCAGATCAGCCCGCTGTTCGTTAGCGCCGAGATCAGTGAATTAATATGTCGACATCACGCCGTCTAAGGAGGGCCTGGGTCTAGTGGTGGCACCCCACCTCATCATAACTTCCTAACTCCAAGCGCCCCCCGCCTTTAGCGTAAGTTGTGGCTGCCTGTACTGAGGAGAATAGCCATAAGCAAGCGACGCGTCGAGCACGGGATATTGTGAATCTAAAGCAATAGCTACTACAAGATCGCTAGGCAGAAGATCTGCATACTCGAGTCGGTAGTGTGAATTGTGCTGCCCTGAACCACACTCTGCCGATTCCACCTCCAGCACTCTGCCTTTCCATCTTACACAGCCTCCCGGTGAGCGAAGAGAAGATACTCGGCTCGTTACTAATGTAAGAACTGAGCTTCCCTGCAGCATGTCCTATCTTATATTTCCTAATTAATCCACCATCCAGTCACTAAGCGCATAATATCAGGTACCGATATATGCTTGAACAAAGCATTGGAGATGCCAAGAGCGCTTGTACTACCAGTAAGATGATTCATTATGCATCCAATCTGAGTAAGAATTTGCTACAACAATGCTCCAATGTCAATCAACTATAAAAGCAAGAGAGATTTCACTATGGCATAAAGACACAGCAGATCCCCGACAATCCGCAGGGGTTACCATCCGCAAATATGGCTCAAATTTGTCTGTTCGGTGCTAGGCCGGCTGAAAGGCAATAAATCTAGCCAAGTCCTATATTGAAACCAGCGGCGATCCCGAAAGACAGCAGTGCACCGGGAGAAGAACCAGTAGTTCATCTATTACCTGGAGAAATTTGACTCGTTGCCCGGCAGAAGCTTGACTTTCATTCCCAGTTATAGCATGGGAAATGCACAAGAGGCCATCGAAAACGAACCGCAATTTCCTTAGAGCCGTCTCTACCGATGGTCAAACAGGCGGGAGCTTGAAGGGCCCAAGACAACGGCCAGCGGCGGAAATCAACCAGTGGCTTCTGAAGGCTCCCCAAATTTCTCAACGCCCAAGAGACTCAGCTAGCGGTACACGCGGCAGTCTCGCCGTTTTCATTCCAATCGGTGACTGGCCATTCGTTCCCCCTCACCATGTCACGTTCTTCGTCTGATATCAGAGAACTATCATGATTTGGTGAGAGAAACCGAATGAGGATGTACGATCCTCCCACGATGTTAAATACACTTATCGGAGCACAATTATGGGCCTTGGATGGTTGACTGATATCAGTCATAGACCTTGCTATAGTAACTCTTAATGAATGAGAGATGATTTCCTCAGTACTGACTAGTTTAAAGACCCGTGAAAATTAGGCGACCAATGACAGGCCCAGTCATGGCCTTCACAAGCCAAGCAGTTGATTCACCCTCCCTAAGGCCAAATAATAACTCCTCCTTGGAATGATGCATCACGTCCAATGATAATGGGCATTTCGTGGATTTTTGAGGGGGTGGAAAGAGCATTAATGGGAAGGGGCAGTGGTCGCGGGATCGAAGTGCAGGGAGGTGGCTGGTAAATCACTTAATTTGAGAGGTCAGGGTAAATGAATTACACACGCGGTGACGGCGTTGCGTTGTCGGTCACGAAGAGAGTGGTATATGTAACGTGAAGATTTTCAATGACAAAAGCGGAAATGAAATAATTGAAGACTTGACTCTTTTGGAAAGGGAATGTGTAGACAGGAATGAGCTGAGATGCAGTTACTTAGGTACGATGATTATGATGATCAATTAAAAGTTCTAAGTGTCATGATCTACAGTCGGCCGTTAACACAGAAATGACCTGCTACAACTGCACAACCCCCATTATTCTTTTTAATTGTATTGCAATATTCAATGTAATGTTCAATTTTCCCAGATGGGAAGGAATATACTGAATACAAACGATCATTACATTTACAATCAGTCAAAGTCGGCAGTTTCTGCGTTCATGGCGCCGAACAGATCGGCATCATCGTCAAGCGGATCTTTGGTCTTCTTTGATTGTGTGCCCCAAGTGGGTTCGGGCACTGGATTACCAGAGGCGTCCATGTGTTCACTCAGGAGCTGAGCGGGCCCCAGATCGCAGTGATAAGCTTTTTGCGTGGCGTTCTCCTTAGCTCTAGTGGCAGCCTTCATGTCAGCCTTACTCTTGTCGTCTTGAGTAGGCATAGTATAGTGTCTTGATAGTATCTTGTTGCAAGTTAGCAGGGTGCTGTATAGGTTGAGTGTCTCAACCTCCACCGTCATCTCCTGACACTCTTCTTCAATCAGTTTCTGAGATCGGGGTATAATAGGAAACATACCAGGTATTTGTTTGTGGTGAATAAAAATGAATTGTTAGAAGCTGGGAATTGTAGTGGCGGGGGAAATAATCTATATTTACGAGGTTAGAGGGTGGCGGTGATGGTTCGGTCATGACGATGACATTTACTCACCACCCTGGGCTCTTCTCCGCACTCACCCATTTAGCTATTAGCTATTAGCTAAATTTCCCAGTGTCACTGATTCTGTTGTATTCTGGAATTTGCTATTCTATGAGCCAGTTATTTGACGTTAGTCGCAGGCGGTGGTTGGTGTTGAGCATGATTCCCTAGATACCGGCGTTGATTATAGTCCGCTTATTTGTCTCCTAAGGAACCACTGATTACAAACCATGGAAATAGTAGTACAACTTGGTCATAGTGGCTTGCTAGTCTTACACGCCACTATCCGTATACAGTATTGCTCATGAGCTCAAATGGCCGTAGTCGTAAAACACAAACCAAGTCAATAGCTTTGTAAACAAAATCGCAAGAATACCAACACAATTATAGACATTTAGCGTAATAGTGTCACACAAAATCACTTTTTATTGGTAACATAGGGAAATAATATTTGTCATTGTGTCGTCACTCCACATCTGAAAACCATGGAATGGGGAAGAGCCCTGTGCGCACGGTTATGTTTCATAGAGTAGGAACTGACCTGTCAAACCGAAATTTGAGCAAAGGAAAAGGTTCAAGACCGAAGGAAATGCGTACGGCAATACATCAATTAAAGTGTAGAATGTAGCTAGGGTTGCAACGGAGACTTTCGTTGATACTTACCTACAGTTATTTCCCTCTAGGACGCTTTAGGTGCACATAATTTATATATGTTTTAAAGATAGAATCAATCTTATTTTAGTTTAGAATGTCCCGATTAAATACATTGAAAGAAGGTTTCTTGGGTGGTTGTCGACCGATGAACCGTCATTCCATTAAGGCCGCGGCTGCCGAACGAAAAAACTGTCTATCAATGACCCGACAGAGTATCGTTTTGAGAATTAGCTTGGTTATCATGGTTGATAATTAATGGTTACGTCATCACTTTGGTAGTGGTTAACTTCATGTGATCTCCCACCTCTACAATCTCGCTATTTACATATAGGAATTTATCTAGGCATGCTGGAACACACTTGGCGGCTGTTTAGCCACTCAATTAATGCTACTCCGCTCCCTTGTATCTACAGGTGCCTCTACGGGTCAACACCAAATTTACACATGGCTTAGCGAGTATCCCTCATTTCCCATGGCATATGTAACGACACGAAAAATGGATTAGAGTAAAATGAGCTATCCTCAACCTCATGCTTCGCGGATATCAAAAGGAATGGCCCATGTCTATATTTTTGGGGGCGTTATGTAATCTTAGTTGTATCCATTCCTATGTGGAAGGGAGACTTAGACTTTTGATCAATAATAGCTTTCATCTGTGATAGGTAACGTACAACTCGGTTTCTTTAGCACACACTAGACTAGAGGGAGCCATAAACAGGCTGGATCATAGATCATAGATGTCACTTGCTATCCAAAGACTGGTTATAACAATAATTCAGCGGTGGTGCAACCAAGGTTATAGAGCAATACAGTATGGATACAGGATCTGAATAAGAAAGAGTTAAAATTATAACCAAAAAACTGTAATCAAAATGCATACTGCTTCTCGTATTGTTACTGTATCCCACTCTTTGCGGTTGTACTTGTAACGAGGGGTGGATGGTTCGCCTATATAATCAAACCAAACCCCAGCCCACCCTTCTTCCCCTCTCTAATCCTTCGCTCCCGGACCGCCCGAATTTTAATAGCATATCAAAACATCCCTACATAATGTCATTTGTGAATATGAAAGGGAATACAGCCGAAAATGAATTTATAGACCTCTACATCCAAGCAAATTCTTCAAATGGACTTGAAATCATAGTTCTGCTAGAAGAACTGGGGTATGTCAAAAAGGATACTTCCCTTGCAATGCTGCTTTCACTAATCAACTCAAGGGTTCAATACTGCATTTACCGGGTTCATCACATCGAAGAAATTGAAGAGGAAAGATTGCGTTTTATGGATATTCACAGCCATCTTCCCATCTTAACCGATGTGCACCCTGATGGCCAGAGATTCCGAATTCAAGAAACTGGAGCTATTGCCCAATACCTGATAGCGCACTACGATGCCAGTCGTACACTTTCTTACCCTCCGTTATCCGCAGAAGATATTGAAGTCAACAATTGGCTGTTCTTTTTGACTTCGCGATTGGGACCAAACCACGAGGAAGCTGTTCACTTCTTTGAAGCCCCGGAAAAGATACCTTACGGCACCTCACATTTTGTAGACAAAACAATGCAGCTATACCTCATCCTTGAGAGGCACTTGCAAAAGTCTGGGACCCTCTATATGGTGAATAATAAATGGTGAGTAATTTCAACTTAATGCAGGGTTTTCCTTATATGCAGCTGTTAAATTTGCCCATAGTACAGTTGCCGATATTGTTCATGTGCCCTATGTTGCCGGGGCAAAGTCAGCCGGAATCGCCATTGAACAATTTCCAGCTCTTGAATGCTGGTATGGGCGAATGGCTCGACGTCCTGCTATTGCAAAAGGATTCGGGATGCTAAAGCAACACGAATCTGGTCATAGTAATGGCGCAAGGCCTTTGGAGTCTTCCAGAACTGAGTGAAAAGTTGAGGAAGACTATGCGAATGAATTTCGTATGCCATGTCTCCCAGCAAGTAGTTCGTTGAAGCATGACCTAAGCGCGTGGGTCGACGAGGGATAGGATAAAGGAAAACTTAGCACAGAAAACGCTTGCTCCGGAAATTAACTCGTCTACCTATTAGGATGGAGACTCATATTGACAACTATAGGGTCTTTGAACTAGTTTATTGGAGAATTTATGATACTTTTGTCAGACGAAGCCTAATCAAGCTCGTCTCAGACACACTGGTCTGTCTCCTTCAATATATATGTTACGGAAACTGCAATAACATAGTTAACAAAAGGGATTTTGACCGCCGCCGGCTGTTCCACAAGGGAAACCGAGGCATCATTAACCTTAGCACATCACTATAGCAGTTCCGATTGCTTTCACTACTGACGCTTTTGGCCCGGCAGCAGCATTGGTCAAGTCTTTTTGCTTGTGGGGGGTGGTCATCGCCAACATCTTGATCAACAACGTGTGCCTTCACCTCATCTGATACGTTTGGGTTGTTCAATGCACTACCATTGGAAATTCTGACATTAGCTTTTCCCATAGACTCTCACCATTAGTTGCCAGGTAGCCAACTCACAACTTATTACCGCTGATAGGATCAAGACTATCTTTGGCGTTGAGTATGTTGGGAGGCTGATGACGAAATTATTCGGCAATTGACTTGTCCTATGCTAAATGATAATACCCATTATTTTTAACCTAATGTGCAATCTCTTTATAGGTTGTGATCTACAGTACAAAACCAGCTGTCATGATCGTCATGCGTCCGTCATCTTTAAGCTTCAGGCGTAATACGTACTCCGCCACCGACTAATTAGATGGGATCGCTAGGTTTATTCTTCAGGATTTCCCGGCCTTGGGTCATATGCAACCAACCCCCAACGTACTGTACACCGCTCTGTCGGGCGGGTAAAGAAATTTCCATTGACCTTTTACGTGAGCAACACCCCCGACTCAAGACGTCCAGCAACACCCCAGCTACTGTACCTTGGTTTTCACTAACACGGCGGAGCTCTGAAGACTAGAATATGCCATAGACTGAAAGTTCAAAGTTTATTGTACAATTTCAAGCGACTCTTTGTACTGTATTTATTATGGATTGATGTTGTGCTCTTGGATGCTTGGAGACCTAGTACAGTAGAATTCGAAAACAGTTTCCCCTCTGGACATACATCGGTTGTTTCTCGGCTTGTACCCGATACTAAGCTAGTCCTAATATGGACAAAGCTGTAAAGAATATTTTTCTAAGAATAGACAAATTTAACACAAGGACGACTATGTTACGTATCATATTCTACGTTACACGAAATCTTGATACACTGCCCCTCCATTCCCCTCCATCCAGTTCCTAGCAACCCATCCTTTCGCAAGTCACCCATTTTTGCTGATCCTGAGAACTCACGTCCAATAGATATGGCACCGAGACTATCCCCATCGAAGCTACAGTTCATTCATGATATGATAAAGAGCCAGTCACTAACCACACCTCAAATGGCTGATGCAGCCGAATGCAGCGATCGAACGATAAAGGATATCCGCAGGAACTTGCGGTTATTCGGGAAAGTCCATGCCCCTTCAAATCATGTCGGTCAAAGACGAACCATAACGCCACCGATGCTTGACGCTCTTTGCAATCATCTGCTCGAAAAATCGGGTCTTTACCTTGACGAAATGGTATTATTCATATGGGATGAATTTCGGATTCTTGCAACAACCTCAAGTATTAGGAGGGCTCTGATAGTTACAGGCTGGTCCAAGAAATCCATTCGCCAGAGAGCCAAGGAACAGAATGCAGAATTACGGGAATTCTATCTTCATAACATCTCAGAATTTGAGTCGTACCACCTTGTCTATGTTGACGAGTCTGGTTGTGATAAACGAATCGGATTCAGAAGAACCGGCTGGTCACCACTCGGTGTTGCCCCAGTCCAAGTGTCACAGTTTCACCGTGATGAACGATATCAAATACTCCCAGCGTACGCCCAAGATGGTGTCGTGCTTTCCCGCGTTTTTCGTGGTTCAACGGATGCCGGTGTATTCGAAGATTTTCTCGACCAGCTTCTTCGACACTGTGGAAGATGGCCGGAGCCGAAATCCGTTCTGGTCATGGATAACGCATCGTTTCACCACACTGAACGTATTACGCAGATGTGTGCTGATGCTGGAGTCAAGTTGATTTACCTACCTCCCTATTCACCGGACCTTAATCCCATTGAAGAATTTTTTGCTGAATTAAAAAGCTTTATCAGGCGTAGCTGGTGCTACTATGAAGAAAATTCAAAGACAGTAGTATTCGAAATCAGTTATACCTCCGCATTCTTGCAATGTGATTCCCGGAAAATACAGCCGGCGGTTGTGAATTATGATTGGATAGGTGATTGACCACCCGCTGTCCAGACCGCTTTCCGAACTGGTAGGTGTATCTTACAATACAGTAGCAAGACACCAGAAGATACATTTTACGCGAAAGCGCTATGTATACGCATGCCGCCTAGTGTGCCCCTCGATCATGGCAAGAACTAGGTTTCCTCTCCCACTCACGTACCACCCGTCTGTCTTTGAGTAAAATCACTCAATATAATTTCAACGAACATGACTCCTAAGCTCCCTACTTCGAAGCTTCATCTGATCTGTGGCAAGGTAGAGAGCCGATGTTTTACCACGTCTCATATGGCCGATGAAGCTGAATGTACCAAGCTTACGATTATCAATATTCGCAGGAACTTATGCCAGTTTAGAACTATCAATGTCCCACATACACGAATCGGCCGAAATCGAACCGTAACGCCGCTGATGATAACAGCCCTTTGTGGCTACATTATGAGTTGTATGCCGGGAGTAGGACCAAAGCAGCAGTAGATGATAGAGAGGGAAAGCACTGGCCTCAGATTAAATAGCAAAGCGGGGGTGGGTCATCTTAGTCGTGGGGCTGTTGCAGAGTGGAACCACCCACACCGTAAAATGATCCCAGTTAGAAAATCGACTAACATGTAGCTCGGCCCGCATTTTGTGATTGCCCGTAGCATTTTCCTCACCACCCATCAATTAGTTGCCTTGCGAAGCCTACTCTATCTCCCCATTTCGTCCTTATTTTTGACGCTCAATTCGTTCCAAAGCCGACTAGATTGTATTTACATTGAGCTAGGAATACGACACGGTGGTTCTTTGGTGGTTTACGAAATCAGCTATACCTCCACAGTTTTCAGACTTGATTGGACAACTTTTTGGGAGGGTGGTGCCCCACCCTTGTATAATATTGCTCCAAAAAGTTGAGACTTGAGACTCAACGTAATTCCCCGATTAGGGGAAATTTGGGAACGGGAGGGACCCGCAGAGGGGGGGAGGAAACCCCCGGCCATTGGCCGGAATAGCGCAAGCGGGCCCGAATAGGTAAGTACCGTTGTAACGGTACAGTAAATACGATGAAGTCAGGTGAGCGGATGCACACCGCCTGCCTAACAGCGTATTCTACGCTAACAGTCTTGGTGAGGCTGTGAGACTGAGGAAAATTACTAGATGTAGTAATTCTTGGCACGAAGTGGCATTCACGGCATGTGATTGTTTCGATACGATAAAAAGAGGAGTGAACCCCTCGATCTATACATTATTTTGGATAACAAAATGTACGTTCGATTTCGATCAGTCGACACTGATGAGAGACTTCACCATCCTTGGGTCTTTTTGACCTATTCACGATGTTCCATCGAATCGAAAGATGAGTTCGAAGAAGGCTTTAGCGATATGCTACAGCGTAATGAGTTTACGAAATCTACGTATTACGGATGTCGAGAACACCATGTAACCGAAGGTATCCATTACCATGTCTTGGTAAACCTTGGAAAACAGCGCAACTGGAGTTTCAAACATGCTCGCGCAAAGTTTGCTGTCGACAACAGCGAGTGTGACTTGTTGCATATTTCCCCGCCCCCGGCGAGACCGAATATTTCTCAATACATTGAGAATTGCGTGAAATATTGCGAAAAAGAGAAAGGAGGCGACTGTTTCGGCCAACGGCCAACCACTTCTGTCAAGAAACAACAAGAGCGGAAGCGGATATGGGAGGAAATAGGGTCCCAGCCGACTGCACCAGCAAATATTGCGAAGCTCAAGGAAAATTTCCCTGAAGTTATTCAAGCTTTACAATTGCTCCATGACTGAACAATCGATGACCTGGGTGTCGGATGATTCTATCCGCTTGTCTTTTTGGCCTGGCCACTTTGGACGTTCTAAATCATCTCCGTTCTTTTTTTAACATACAAAAAAAAAATATCAGCTTGGCCCCTTTTCTTGCGATCGGGCTTCGGCCCCCCATGTTCTTCATATCGTTTCATACACTGCCCACGTAAGGTGGTCCATCGTCGTAAGCACCAAATTGAACTGAATGAGCTCTTGCGCTGACTGCGCCGCTTGATATTCGCTACAGCGAAGTAACGATGCAACAACCGAAACACGAATGACTTCAGCAGGCTGTGAAGTACACTTTTTCTGACTTCTTTTTCCAAGGACGGCTGCCAGAAGGCGCTAGGTGCCAAAACGACATCTTCTTCCGTGCCCTTTGACACCTCCCTATTATTGACGGTCACTCGCTACCATGGTTCGCAGCCCGCATACTGCGTTGCATCATCGAGGCGAAGTTTATTCATCTCTCACAATGATCACAGTCCTTGTAAAAAAAACATTGGCTGGGAGTAGCAGGTTAGGATTGAGGCTGGTAACGAATGAGAAGTGCACTAGATAGCAAAATTCATGGTGATAAATGACAACATTTTTCCCTACCAGGTTTCGTTCCTCTATGGGGTAAGCACACGCTATTGCACTATGACTGGCAAGCGAAAACGGTGCTTCGCCGCATGTGGAAAGAAGGGGTGGAAAGAGGCAAAACGTGGTTGACGGGAGAGGGGAGCTAGCGGGCGATCTGGCAAGATCGCCAGATCTACCAAACCCTTCCAAGTAGTTCTACGTAATATACGGTACTGTGACGATGACTCATTGCTAGCCATACAATCATTACGATAACAGTTTTGCCAGAATTATGAGGCGGTGGCCTAACCCGGCCTAGCGCGCGTCGGAATTAGTTTCTCCGAACCAAGAAGAAAAGAGTTCGGAGGTATAGCTGATTTCGAAAAGTACTGTAAAGGATTTGATCATTTTCTTGATTGGTGCATTGAAGCAGTTGGAGCTAAAAGGGAGAGTGCTGAGGGTCATTTCCGGCACGCAGGCCTGACAATCGAATATCTAGAGTAAAGGCAGGACTAGACTGTTCTGAGTGCGATATTTGCGTGGTGATAGATGGTTTTTTCTATCCCATCTGCAAATTCCAATCGATGTCTTGGGAAGGAATTATACAATCAACAATAGTTTCGTGGTTGCGTTTTAGGTGTGTCCACATCGCGTTGTCAGAATCGTAGCTGCGGTGATTTTTGATATTAGAGCCACAATCGTAGCAATACCACATGTGGTTGTGCCCATCGATTGCTCCAGCGCGCCCGGGGCGCCCGATGAAACTAGCATGGGAGCGACGAATATGCTCGATCGCTTCTCGAATATTAAAATCTTGATCGTGTTCCGTGCATGTTAAAGCCTGCATGTTGAAACCAGTATATAGCTGTCCTAAGGCAATGTTTGCATGATATATTGCAATGAACGGTTTTAAGCCTACCTCTCACGTATTCAACAGATGTGATTAGCTTCCATCAATTTTGAAAGGAGCGATAATTACCTAGATTAGATAAATATACAGTAAAATTGTACTCTAATGGTCGTGAGGTTAGTTGACTTTTATCTGAGGGTGTTGGAATTACGTCATGATATTGTACACGTCATCGGAATAACTAATGCGAGACAATTGGCAGCTTGGAATTGCGTAAGTGAGGCTGCGAGCACATGAAACCCATTAGACCAGACGGAAATACATTTGACATTACATAAACCCAGCCGTATTGCCTACAATTACATATCGATCATTTGCCAAGGCAGAAACCAAAATATGCCAGCGAGTTTCTTGAGTCTTCCTGCTGAGCTCCGCAATGAGATCTATAAATATCTCCTAGTAAGTGGAGATCCTATTATTCCTTGGAGGAAAAGATGTGACCTTGCATCGAACCTTCTGTCCACAAACACGATGATCCTACACGAGGCCAGCTCACTACTCTATGGCAATAACTGCTTTGACCTCTCGTCATCGACCTATATACACACATGCGACTTCCTCGCTACTATAGGCTTGGTGAACGCTTCTCATCTTAATTGTATCCGCATCCGCTTTCCTGAATTTGGCGACCTTGAAGAGGAAGTCAGCCTTGATAAAAAAAGCCTGCTCGCCCTAACAAAGATCAAGGCATACTGTACCAACATCAAATCCATCACAGTAACCGCTCCAACCACATATCTAATGGGAATTCAACTATCAGTTGACAACCCTTCGATTTGTGATAGAGCATTGGCGTTGGTAGCCGATCACTTCAGAGCAATCACATCACTGCCAGAAATTGTCATGGAAGTTTATGATGATGGCCTGAACTCATATATCATACCTGTGGAGAAAATGAAGAGTTTTGGGTGGACACTCAAGACGGTGGAACCTGTGGAAGAAGAGGAATGGGATAACGACAGAATTTGGGATGAGAATGAAGATTTTTATTATCTTTACGATGACGACGATGATTATGATAATGAAGACGACTACGACATTGACAACGATAGTGACTTTTGGAGAAGGGCAGCAGACTAGGCATCGTTCTTTTCCTATCATTTGAAAAGAAACAAACAAACTCGGCGAGTAAAACTTGCGGCACAGGTCTAACGCCGAACCAAATTCAAAAAGAGAAAAGGAAAAAAAAAGAAAACATATCTTCCAACGCCAACGAAATCCATATTATACATCATCAAGAATGGGTATTACTTTCACAGTTTCGACCCAGTCACGGATATTCTCTACAAACGTGCGAGCAATTCCCGGCATGACCCCTTTACCAACGAAGAATCCTGGATTTTGGTCCTTACGTATGTGCTCAAGGTCGAAGCCATCCGACAGCGTCACATCACACGCTTGCCGGAATGCAGCTTTGAGTGTATCATCCGATACAGTTGATGCAAGCCACTCACCATACTCTTTGACAGCAACATCTCTGAAACCGAGAATCTTCAATGGAGATGTTCCTTTTGAAACTCGTGGGTCAGCATTTGCACTGGAAGCTGTTGCATCCAATCCAACGGAATGAGATGGCAGAACATTGATGTTGATAGGTGGATACGGCGTGACGCCGAGAACCTTGCCATTTTTGCTTTTGTCTTTCTCCTGTCGTTGCTGTTCTTCCAAATGAAGCTCTTCCTGTATTTCATCCGGAACATCTTTATGTGTCTCAAGGACGCCGCCTTTCTCAGCATAGGTCACTAATCGCTTGAGGGTTTGTGTGTGAAGTCGATAATGCTTTTTTCCTACTGGGTCAAGCCAGCAGTAAGGTCCCAGGTGGCATGCGGGGGAATCGCATTTCATCAAGTCATACACGTGGCGCCAGATTGCTTGCTGCCCACATGCATTTTCTTCAGCGTCTAGCTGAGCGTCTCGATCATCGAGCATTCTGTTGGTCACAGATGATTTACCTCGCTTCTCCCCTTTCCGACCCGCGGATACAGAAGTGCTGTCTTCTACATAGTTAAAGCACATCCTCGGCGTGAGTCTTTTACCACGTGAAAACTGAATCGACCACATGCGAAGTTGCTTCTCAATCGGTGCCCAGACGACATCGATCTTGTTGAAACGTTTCGTCAGATCGCGCTGGGATCGGTCATTGACCGAAGCAACAATCGCCGTGTCATCCACCCTAATCCTTTTTTTGTGTGATACTTTTTCTTGAAGAACCTTTCTTAGCTTCTCTTCTAGCACCAAATTCCAGTAGGCGCTTGGGGCCAATACTATGTCTTCCTCGGTGTCCTTCACCACGGCCTTGTCGTTAAGGGTAACCCGCCATTCTATGAAATAATGAATACAGCTTGGCGGATCTTCGTCGTAGACCTTGTCTTTCTCCCACTCGGATTCTTGGAGTAGTGGCAAAGTGCTCGGTCGGGTTTGGATTGCGACATTAGGCCCATACTCGAGGACGGATGGGGAGGGGCTATAGTTGGACCGTGTAGCATAAGGGCTCCGAAAGTATCCTGGGGTAGGAGGGGAATACTGAGAATCTTGATCCCAAGACTCCGGCTCTTGGGGCTGAGAGAAGTTGTTATGGAATGGAGTGTCACTCATATTGACCCGATCAAAGTTCTGCCTGCAGATCATCGTCAGCTTACGTGGGTACTAGCCATCAGCAGAAGTTGTGAGCGAATAGGAACGATAGTGGCGAGTTGAATCCATGGAGTAACGCGAAAACCCTAAACTTAGCCTACCAAATGTATCTCTCCACAAGATCAGCCCAACCGTCGGTATGGGTTGGCATAGATGAAGAGTTTAGAAAGAGAAAGCGACGAGACTCAGTAGAACAAGACACATCGTCAGATTTCCCCCCCCCCCCCCCCTTCTACGAGAACATTCTATGGATGATTATGGTATTATACAATTGTTTCTTGAACACTGAAACTCAATACCGACGCTGAACGGAACTACGGTGATACAGGGGTTGTTTACGGGTGACCCAATAAGGCCTAGCGTTGTTTCGGGTACGAACCGAGAAACAAGCGCTGTGTGTCCAGAGGGGAAACTGTTTTCGAATTTTACTGTACACTGGCACATGTGCTACTTATGACTCATATCCTGTTCGTGGCAAAAGATCGTAGGAATGGGCATGTCCAGGCTCGGGAAGGTGCTATATGTGTTGTAATTCAGAAGTATTAATTGATTGTTTTCTCAGAGGGAGACACGAGGCTATGTATATATACAAAGTGAAGGCATCTACTTGCATCATGTGTTTCTTCCACGCAGAAAGAACTGGAAGCTTCTTGATCTGCAACAGCCTCATATCACAACACCTATGCCTGCTCCCAGAATAGCAACCCAAGGCCAATAGAGAATGCTGGATGCCTCAGCTTTCTGGCATCTACAATGACCTATAGGGAGGACACTAGGGTAAAAGCAGCAATAAGCGCAGTTCCTTGTTTGCTATACATAGCCAACTAAATTCAAAAAGCAAAAACATACAACAGCATAGTGAGGATTCGCTGGTGGTCACCCACCCAACTACTAACTCACAGGCGTGTGGCTTAAGTACGGCTGAGCGGACGGGGAGCCCTGTTTTCCACACCCTATGGTCGTATGTGACGGTTTTAACAGTGACCGGGTATATATACAATGCATTTAAGTATTGCGTGGATGATAGGATAGAACTATCTGCAATGCCTCACAGATTGTCAATAGCTCAAATTTGTTTTCACTGTTGACAACAAATTGCACAAATTCTAAGTAATCTTTAAGTTAGTTAGTTATTTAGTTACTTTATCTTTATCCGATAGAACTACTTCGCCTATCATTCCCGCCTACCCTGGACGTGTATAGTCTAGAGGCGCTCACGAGGCGATAGTAGTAGCACTTGTTCCTTGATAATCTATAGGCCTACGATGCTTATTCAGAGATTTCAGAATGCTCTCCGAGATTAAACAACCTCGAACGTAACTCTAGCTTACTATAGCGTCATTTGCGAGTGGGTTTGGAGTTTAAAGAGCACGCACGTAAATGGCCTTGTTTCCGTCGTTATGAAGTCACAAAGTAAACAAAAGATTCAGTGTTGCTCATTCCATTCTTGTACTACTAGTAAAACAGAAAAAACATACAGGCGACCACAAATTCAAGTTCAAAAAAAAGTGCCTAGTATTCACTCCGCTGATCAGCGAAACTAGATTGCTCATTCGATCGGGTCCCACTAGGATCAAGTTTGTTCAAAGGGTCAGCATTTTGAGTACCAGATGGCTCTCTGGCGCCTGATGTATGGCTGCTACCACCAGCAGCGTTACCCCCGAAATTCGGCTCATTTTGCATATTCGTCTGGCTCGGCCTGACGTGACTGGTAGCGGAGTGAGATTTGTGCTCTTCCGTAGAGGTTTCGTGCTTTTCTTCGCTAGTCATTTGACCCAGAGGGTTGTTGTTGTCGGAGGGACGGGACTGGAAATTCTTTTCGTTTGTCGACTTCTGAAAATCATCTTCGCTATTTTGATGATTGTCGAGACCTTGAGTGCGAGACTTTCCACGGGGATCCATGTTGCTAGGGGCATTGTTGGACTTTTGGGGGTTGGTAGCTCCTCCAGAGTGTTGAGCACGGTTGTCTGTATACAGTCTTAGTCTGACTTTCTGGCCAGGGGATTTTAGCTTGGCTTACCCATATCACTATCTACACGAGGATCCATCTTATTTGCCAACTTCGAATCATGAGGACCAGCATTGACGTTGTCGGAGCCCGCGCTAGTAGCTCTGGTTGAACCATATCCGCCAATTTCCGTCGATCCATAGGTGTCAGGGTCAGATGAGCTATGGCTTTCTACATACTCAATCAGCATACAAGCAAAGGCAGGTGGAAATGGAAAAGTGAATAATATGTCCGAGGAGACCAACCGTTGCCCTTGGAGTCGCGATAGGCACCAGGCTCATCGTCAGAGCGGTGAGAGCCGTAAGGATTGTTAGAGCCCATGCCAGAAGGTTGATTCATGCTAGAAGAGTTGTACTGGTTCGGATCCGATTCTGTGGTGCGGGGATTAAAAGATCCATGTTCACCTTGAGGAGCTCGGTTGCCACGGGCTCCAGGTGCATCCCTCTTGTCATCAGTCATTGCATCCTTGGCCTTGTGCACGAAATTCGACATAGTGTGAGGTGAGTTTGTGATACAAGGCTAGAAAGTATTTTGAAATAAGATAGTTATTGTGCTGGAGAAATTTGGATTATCTCTTGTCGGAATGACTATTCCCATAAAAGGCGATTAACAGCGGGCCTATTTGTCTCTCGGCCATCTTTTGCCTCAATGACTCGTATTAGATCGGAAGTTGCAAATTCTTCGTGACGCCATGATGAGAAAGTCATATGACTGCCAAAAAAAAGCGAATAGTGCGAATGGCCTATTAATTGGCTTGATCTCCATTCGCATGACGTGCCAGACAAGTTCAGTGATTGTACGGGCGAAGGCATCATAGCCATGAATGTCATCTGCCTAGGTGGCGTCATACCCCCTAGTTCCTAAAGCTAGAAAAACGAGGGAAAACGAGTGTAGCAAGTGGAGAAAAGAAGAGATCTGGGGAAACGACCCGAGTTGACCATTCCGTGGTTCTGCATTTTCATCGGTCGATATTCAGGTTTTGAAAGGAAAAAACAAGATATCATGCAAGAAAGAGAAATTAGAAAATTATCAGCGGTTGAGTCAATGTCTCAGTAAATATATTTTTTTTTTATGGTATAGAGCTTGAGTGAAGAACGTCGCTCAACTTTCCTGAAACCTGGTGCACATCCACCCAGGAAAATCCCCAACGAGTGAGTGTTTCAGCCTTCCCAGCGCCTCGGTTCTGGAAAATGCTTCGCATAGGCCCGGAAGCTTGAATCGTTGATCGTCGGGGCACAATCACTCTCCCAATGATCATAGGCCGCTTCAAGAATAACTCTAATCACCTCTGATGGCTCGCGATGTAGCAGCAAGGCGTCTACAAATGCAGGCAAGGTCGAATCACTTTCTTGCGCGCTTTTGATCTCATGCCCTGAGTAATCTTCCCCATGGCCGATAGAGACAGTGCACGTAACTTCCTTGCTCTTGCCTTTGATATCTACCAACCTGTACAGATGTGGGGTCGTCAGGACGTTGAACGAATGGCACGCCCGTTTCTATCACAATATCCAGAAGTTCGTTAGGCAATCTGGATAGCGGTTACTTTCCGTTGGGCTTCAATTTTGATAAGCGGTCACCTAGGTAGAGACACATCAACACAGACGAATTTAGCATGAGATCACGACGTGAGTCCGACTAAGATTTGGCGCACAAAATTATTTTGTCACTATCCAAAGGCACTGGTTTCGAGGACGAAGAAGTTGGCACGGGACAGATGTGAGGCTGATCGAGTCAATTTACGATTGAGCAACTGCGCAAACATAGCTGACATCTTTCCTCGCTGATCCGAATAGCGAAAACTCAGTAAATGAGGGTTTGGGGTTGTTGTACTTTCTATGCACGTTGGAATGCTATCCTCAAGGCACCTCTCAGTGTTTGAATTGTTCCTTCTAGATTTATTTCTCTGTATCAACGAACTATAACCCTATATCCATAAGCTGTGTAGAATTTGCCTTCTCTGTCATAGTGATTGGTACCAATAAGAAGGTGTATATTGCACCACCAGGCTATATATATAGACATAACCTTAGGCTCATCTGAAGTGGGGTTTATATTGATTACTATGATATCAAGATATATGGTGTAAGAAAGAAGTGAGAAGTGAGAAGAGTAAGCATCTTTTACCGATTGCATACCTAGGCAGAGGCATAGAATGTCCCACCAAAGCTTTACCACAAGAAAATGACACTTAACCACCTTTTCCACTGGATATTCAGCAACGCATCACTTATGTACACATCGAGGGAGACAGTGCTTAAAAAGCACTGAGTGAACACAGCTTCTGCTTCCGAGGTTCTCCATCAAGAGTTTTAACCATGCAATCTGATTGTTAGGAACTGGAATTCTTTGCTGTGACATTTATTTCACATAGACTTTGTATAGACAGGTGAAACATATCAGTGTGAAGATTCTATACTTCCAAAGTTGGGGATGTGACGTTATACTCCACTCTCTTCTGAGTCACGTTCTTTCGTCTCTTCTCTTCTACAACCCATTTGCGAACCTTTGTACATTCCCTCGTCTTCCCGAGTACGCTGCCCCCTATTCAAGCTTCGCTTCCAGAGACAGACGTGGCGACAGCAACAGCCACATGGGCCTTTCTCCGGAGTTTCGGCTCTGTCTGGGGTGTTGCAATCCCCGTTGCCGTCTTCAACGGCCGAGTCAACGATCTTTTGCACCGCGTCGGCGATCAAGGGTTACGAAGTATGCTGGCTAATGGCGGTGCATATGGTCTTGCCGGAGAGGGCGGGTTGAGTGATCTCTTCGGCCAGACCAATGACCCAGATACTGTGGCTCAAGTCACAAGCGTCTAAGTGGACAGCCTGAAGCTTGTCTGGCAGGTTGCGCTGGCATTTGTGCTTCTGGGGATTCGACTCTTGCCGTTAGACGATGCGAACACCCGATGGAATTCGGTCTTTCTGATGTTGAAACGAGCCGGCAGACTGCGAAGATTTATCGACCAATACTGCCAAGAGAGTGGAAAATTACAGTACAAACTAACAGATACGGATTGGCGCAAGGCCGACTACCTTGTGCAGCTGACAATGCCATTCATCCAGTTCACTACGGCCCTCCTGGCCTCGAAAGAGGCGACAGTCCACAAGGCCTGTTTCGTGTTCAAGATACTAATGGAGCATCTCGACGAGTCAACTCAAATATTGACAAGAAAATCAGCTCCGTGAAAGCGCAAACTACTTGAGGCGTCGCTTATCATGAAGATGGAATTTGGAAAAGTATACGAAAAGACATTTCTGCTGTGATATGAGGCTGGTGCAGATCAGGAACCAAGCCGCACCGTCGGAATTAGCTCCGAAGTGTCTATACAGACGACCAAGTTGATTGGAAATCAACTTGGCTAATTGTTGTATATATAGGCTCATGTATCCCTCTGAAATAACAAGTCAACTTATACCTCTGAACTACAACAATTTCACCATCTAGAATAAAGGCGTGATATGTGAGAGCCTGTAACCTATTCTAAGGTAGTATTTCGACTTGTAAAGTTTTGTTGGAAAAATAAATTACATCCTCAGAACCGGTTTTGAGGAATATATTGTTGTAGTTCAGAGGAATAATTGATTGTTTTCTCAGGGAGACACGAGGCTATATATATATATACATAGTGAAGGCATCTACTTGCATCATGTATTTCTTCCACGCAGAAAGAACTGGAAGCTTCCTGATCTGCAACAGCCCCATATCACAACACTTATTCAAGGAGCACTCTCATCCATGTCAGAGTCGACACGCAGGTTGAGTTTATTGAGGCTACTGCCGGCGAGAGCTTCGTTAACTCTATCTAAGTCAACTCGAGGGTCGAGCCCGTTGGTGATGATGGAGTTAGGTGGGCAAGTGGTTGTTCCGCCATGACCGTAGTACTTAGCCAAATCAAGATGGTAATAATCAGGGGCATCTGGGTAAGGTCAGTTGTTGTTAACAAAATTTGTTGTTTACAAGACAAACGTTTTCTACCATTGTCGCTGTGGACTCGCGGGTCAAACTGGTTGGCGATGCTAGTGTCGTGCACGTCGCAAGGTCCCCCAATAGCACCATGTTCAAAGGCATTGTCTTTGAAAGCAAGGTGAGCGTTTTGAGACAGAATTCAAAGATTCACATTGATCAAAGAGATCACCTACCACGGTCGCTATCCAAACAAGAGTCGACCTTGTTGGCTAGATTCGAATCGTGAGGTCTATAATTAGATGAGCGGGCTGATTCAGGGTGGCCGGTCAGAACCTCTTCAGCCTTGTGTTCGAACTTTGACATGTTGAATGGGCCAGCCTGATATCTATTAGATATAAAGATAAAGCAGATTTTCAAACCAAGGCAGCTAGTGACATTGCATCTCCGCTAAAATTTCCCTAATCGGCCCGGCATGGAGTTATAGAATAGACTACACTGTAATTAAAGCAATATGACGACGTTTAATCCATGAGTAATTGGTGTTTACAAATTTGAATTTCTCCCCTTGCCGTCGTTCTCTATATGTTGACCCTCCAGTTGAATTCAAATTTAAGGGCCTTTCTTGTCTCTAAGATCAGTACAGTACTTTTCAATCGGCAAATTTTCCATTATCGTTTTCTAAGATACGGGTAAGCGTATCTCGAATCTCTTGCGGGTTCTCCCCCGACCGAATGGCATTGATGATGAATTGAACAGTCGGGCCATTTCCGTCCCGAATGGTTTCGATCAGGTCTCTGACAAATAATCTAAAGTGGTCCAATTGATCCTGTATCCTCTTCGCGGAGGCCTTGCGGCGTCTGTCGGCGGCTTCGTCGAAGACGCATTCACGGGCGTGGTTTGAACATTCGATGCAATGGGGAGGGCCGGTACACTAACATATAAGAAGAGCATGTCAGATAGTTTTAAGAAAGATAGGCAAGGGGCAGAACAATTAAGGGAGAAGGGGGTTTCTTCAAGGAACATGGTTGATATGTACCTTTGTCCGGCGTCTTTGACACTCTTTACACGCCGTCGATGCTCGTCTCATGCGTTTTTCTTCTAGTGCTCTCCTGCTAGCAGGACTTTCCCTTCCCTCTCCCTCTATGCTTAGTAACTGAGGCCGAGGTACGAGAGGCCTATGGCCTCGAGGTGTTGGTTCACTCATCAAGTCTGACAGGACGACAAGGCGCGAAACAATACAAAGCAAACAAATGAAGGACCAAGCCCTCTAGCCGACCAGGCACCGTTCGAAAACTTAGTCCAGCAAAACACATCGAATAAGAACAGATTACGGGGAAGATTATAAAATGGTATCTAATTGGCATTCCTATGATGCTCCATTCTCACCCTGGGTTATTTATTAGTGCTGCGAGATCCAGTCAACACTCATAGGAATATGGGTTGAAAATTTTAATTGTATATGGAATGTTATTTGGTGAGATTATAGAAAGACTCTGGTGGGAAAAGTCCCTTTGAGCTTTAATTTCAGTCCCGCGATTCATACCTTAAAACATGTTTTACTATCGGATCAATTTTGTAAAGGAGAATCAGCATACGTAAAGCATTCTGTATTTTTATATCCTTATTTCTCGCAATTTATATGGGATTCTAATTAAGATAACAAAACCTACAAACCAAGCAAACATTGGTGAATCTAACTTCATTTCGATAGGATCGTCGTTGAGTCCCGCAACATGAAAAATGGAGAAACTTTGTTGGAAAGCTTTCCAACCCCTGTAGCATTGGCTATGGGTTCCATAGATTACGGGGATCTCACAGTGCATTTTCAGGAGCATAGTTTCTATGAGCGAGAAAAACGTGTGCCAGGTATATACGTGAAGCATACAGGATGAGGAAATATGATCTGCGCAACCCACATGTGGCATCTCTCTCTTTTGCTTCCTTGCGCTAGGTCTTGTATCTAGAGATTATTTTCAGAAGAATGGTGGATCTGCATGTGGGTTTCTAGGTATTTACCCAGAAAATATTACGACATCAATATGGGATAACTCACATAAAGGTGCATATTACTTTTTATCAGCATGTCCTACAAAATTGCCAACTTCGCAGGTTGGTTAGAGAGTTTGATACCACCATTTCATACTGGTCACTGATTCTGACAATTATAAGTAGTTGTTAATACTGATTTTTCAGTACAAGGCACTATCCATCTCTAGGTATACGTGAGATCCTCAATGCATTTCGGCGTGTAGAAACGCCGATCCCGATAGGTCCGCATCGACTGCTCCAAGTGTGACAATGATCGTATTCCCAACATTTTCTTACAGATGGAATGTGAATTGTAAAACAACTACGTATCCCCAGTCCCTTGATACACCCTCTCCTGAATTCCAGAGCCCTAGAACATTCCCATTCGAAGAATGGCTATCTAAGCTAGATTTTCCAAAGGGATACGTTTGATATGGATATTCACTCACCTTATGCGGGTCTTGAGAGAAACGAAACCTTTGTGGAGAACGAACTTTCAGCGCTGAGATTGATTGTGTTTCCTATTACTGTCTTGATACCTGCGTCAGTACCCGTGGCTTGGAATCCAAAGCTTTGCGGAGTATGTCGCAGGGTGTGCCTATATTAACAAATTCGGCCCTTACGCCAAAGTCCACCCTAGACCCTCCGTCTTTTCCTCCTTTTAGGTGTGCAATACTGTACTGCGCCTTGATGGAACATTCAGATATTTCAGGGAAACCTGTAGTCCACTCCTACCCCAATCTCCATCCTTCAATCCCATCTATACTAATACTAATTCACCTCAGGCAAGATTCAGTGTACCCAGGGTATATTACCGACTCGAGAGCCTATAAGGTGATGTCTTGATATGTCAGCTGCCGACTTTTTTTTTTTTTTTTTTCAGTATCTACCGAGCCACAACTTGTTTTCGCAGAGGAAAGCTCCACTTAATTTTCAAACTTGAATGAGTAAGAACCTTGTGACAACATTATTTGCGGCATCGAAAAGCCTCCGATAATGAAGAATAATACACATCACGCAAGCTTGTCGTGGGTCTCTTGTGTTTACGTGGAATTTGTCTACCTATTTGATCTTGTATCGTGTAAATTGATTATTTGTCAATATGTGAGCAACGATCTGACCTATATCAGCTAAAGTTATGGGTGAGACACCGATGCCCTCCTTCGGAGCCAAGGGCCGTGCCAGAAAGCCACTACTGCGGGGGTATGCTCTTCGGCTCGCATGCCTCCGTGCAAAAGTCGGGAAGAACCTTCTAGATGTACTAATGTTGGTGAATTGAGATGAAACCGTCGGCGTGAAAGCCCAACTGGATCCCGAGGAATGAACGTGGTGTTACCAGGTCGTTTAAACGAAACTCTTTTTCTAATGCGCTTTGTATGTATTTGACTTCATCATTGTTGGCTGCGGCAACGATTAAATCATCGACATAGACTGTCAGTACTGGGTCATTGAGAGAGGACTTATGAAGTGACTCAGACACAAGCCTGCTCGTCTTTGAAGGGTCAGGTGAATAAATTGAAGAGCAAATTGCCGGGGGTAGAGGACGTATTTAAAGACTTCTCGGCTCCTCCTGTTGCATAAGTGCTCTGCTTGGTAGAACGCGTTGAGGGACAACTCTTAATTGAGGCCTGTTGAAATACATTTCTTCTTTTTATCGCAATTATTTGCAGCGACATGCAGCGACATGCAGCGACAATTTTTTATGCATTGAGCTCAGCGAGAGAGGCGAGTAACAATAGTGTTGAGAAAAAGGATTCTGGGTAGGCCAAGAAACGTCGGCTCACTCACTGCTTAATCCTTCACGGCCCTCTTCAATTGAGGTTTTGTGGAAGATATTCCATCCGCAATGACAGGCTCATATTTCTTGTTCTGATACCTCATCTGTCGGTGATTCAACGTTGAATCATCGAAAAGCGCCTACACATTCATCTCTAGAAATAATGGAATTTTTTTTCCTAGCCTTGCTTTAGTGTTGTGCTGTTGTGTTGAGCTGTGGATCTGTCCGTTCCGACTGCAGAGAGCGAGGTCACGATCGGTCAACCCGTTCGAGCTTGGCCATTGTTGTCAACACTCAATTTTCGAACTTCTGATCATGAACCTAGAGAGATTAAATTTTTGTTTACTTTTGTTTTTTGGTTGCCCTATGCGGGAAAACACCAAGAGTGAATCGCGAGTCGCGGCTACAGAATACATCTACATCGAAAATCAGGGTCAAACACCCAGTGGGCGACCAAGTCTGGCGCCTGCCTTCAAGTCGAAGATTCGATCGCTTTTTGATGACCTTGATGAGCTGTCAGAGCCATCCCGAGTCCATAATTCTATTTCCGACATTCATTCCAGGCTTTGGGGCTCGATTTCCACCAGTGAGACTCATTCATACGCTTGCGGGTGGGTTTGCGATAGTCTCATGCTCATTTTGCGGACGTGGCCGTGGAGTCTGCTCTTCGTCGAGGATGAGAGTGGTAGCATCTCGATCGTTGTTCCGTCCTTTTCCATGGTCCTCGTGCGGCTGTCCTGCGACGTCAGGGTCCTGTGATTGAGTTGTCAGATCTAGTCGCACTGTCGGGTTCTGGCTGGGCGAAAGAACTGACTCGGCATCAGAGAAGCAAGCGGGCAATTCTTCTTTGCGAAAGTTGGTTGGAGGACCCTGGAGTCGCAAAAACTTATAGCCACTTTCCATCGCGCCCACACATACGTTTTATAGGACTTACAACCTCAATAAACCTGCCCCTTTCGCGTCTGAATGGTGCCTTTAGACACCGAAAGACTTGTCGGAAACATCCCATGTTGGATTGATGGCCTGTGGTGAGTCGACGAGCGGATTTTGACCTCTCCAAAGATATATGTGGTTTGTGGAAGCTTGGAACTGTGCCAATTCCACACAACGCTTCGTGGATGCGAACAAGAAACTGCAACAGGATAAAGGCGACACTAAGGATGAAACAAATGCTATACAACGAGTGACAATGCGAAAAGAATGAATAGGGAGGAGAACACCCAAATAATGCAAACAAGAAAGAAAATAAGTCGATACTCTTTACACCATTAAGACGTGTTGGTGAAATGAAAGCTCAAGACGAGCCTGGGCGAGAGTACATATATGTAAGTCAATTTACCCGCGTCTGCAGCATGCACATCCAGCTATTCCTGGCGTGTCAAGGATTTACAGATCCACGGTCTCGCCCAGATTGAACTAGGCGACAGCCGGACCTTTGGCACAGAAAGGGCTAGCAGGCAAAACACCATTTGCTACGGATTCGGTACCCCTTCCCAGGCTGAGACACATTCCAATCTATCAGTTCGCTCCTTCGGCGGCTGCGGGTCTTCTCCTGGACAAAGCAATTGCCTCTCATTGGATATAAGGAGGTATCCATTCATCATCGAATGCTTGGAGTCTTTATTTTGCCTGATCCGGCTTCTATGGGGCATACAATTCTTGTTCCATCAATCTTATATTCCCTGCAGGCACCGTTGTGATCCACGCTGCCGCGATCCCCTGCAACAAAACGGGTGCAATGCGGCAGATTAAGATCGCAGTCCCAAATCCATGACCTCCAGCATGCAGGGAAAAAAATGTTTGCGACGGAACATGCATAGTAGGAAATCAACTCTTAGTGGAGCAAGTGGGCACACTAGACTAAAGGGGCAAAAGGGAGACATGAGCCCTCGTGTTTTAACAAAGTCATATACCTCTCATTCCCCACGTCCCCTTATGACCCAACCCCTACAATGCCTTGAACTTCGTAATTATACTGTGCGCTCAGATATTGCCATGATAACCAGTTGCCGATCTCAAAGGTTCCCGTTTGCTGGGTCGGATATGTGCATCAGGAACCCTGCGAAGCTCGGGGGGACGGCAATTGTTATCCCCTGTAATTCTGGGGAGAATCTTATTTTCTTCCCTTTCATGCAAGTCACTGCATGTAGATATGAGCGCCTCTCGCCTCGTCTTGCTGCCTTTGTCTCGGAACTTACGTCTTGGTAGAACCCGGTTCCCGACGATGTAATTTTAGATATTTCTCGGTTTCGCGCTCGATCGCAACAATAATTATGTAGCCTTGCCGATCGATCATGAATATGCCGCTGACAGCAATCATCCTAAGGGCTATCTTAGTGCTTTGCACGAAATTTGTGGTCATTTCCACAGATGGGGCAACTAAGCTCGCCGTGCATTTGGTAAAGCTCAGTTGTATACTCCGTACGTACACATTGTGATTTTATTTCGAGAAAAGTTGATTTATATGTGTTTCTAATCCATTAGATCATTATTGAATCAAGATTATCGAGGTGGACTTCCCCCATACATTAGTGATACATATCCCAGCCTTATTGGAAATCCCTTAAGGAAACGGGCTCCTTGACTCCGTCCTTATTCTCTTTGTCATTCGATAAAAGCTCGGACCCGAATGTTTCCAGAAATACCACGAAAATCACTTCACCAAAACAAATGAAACCTTGCGGGTGTCTGCGAGGCTCCGGAATGGTTCCCGCGTCTCCCTTGCGTCGGAGTAATGCTAGGCCAAAAGATAGCTCGTAATCCCAGCTTAGGTTTTCAAAAAGGCTCACGCAGGAATGGGCTTTAAAGTTATTGACTAAGTATAAAAGTGATCAAGGGAAAGGTACCAAAGCGCACACAGCTTTCTGGTCATGATTCAGGATCAACCCGATGTTGAGAGTTTGGCAACGTTGTTGAGCCCTAGCTTCAACGGGACCACAGGGATAAGGAATTCGTCACTTTGTGCTTATTATGAGTGGGTCTTCAAATGACTGAGGTTGCTCATATTGAATTCTTGATCGGATGAAAGACAAATTGTATTCAGTTGCTCTGTTGGCCTAATAGATCCATGTTGAGGTCCATAATTGTTTCTCGCAGGTCGGCCCCGGGCGGGGATTCAACGATATCGAGATATATGAGAAAACCTTGGAACTACAAAATGAGATTATCACACTCATTATAGGCGTGTGAGAGTACTACTTTCTTTCTATAATTTGTAAGGAAACGACAGCATGTATCCCTGCCGCAGTCATTTATATCCAAATCTCAACCTTCGCAATATGCTTGAAGAGTATCGGTCGAATGATGGCTAATTAATTCAACAAAAAGCGTAGATACCTTTTCCTCTCTGGGCAGTACGGAGAAAGTTGTACGGGAAGAAGTTCTAGATGAACCGTCTGAAAAATAGACTTTACTGTTTCGCAGGCATATGATTCGCAGTTTACGGAATGAAATATTTCATTCCTTGTCGGTTTGAGAACGAATCTGCAGAGCATGAGATTTTTAGATTCTTATAACACAAGCAAGCGCTCCAGCCCTGGAGTGTGCCCCAATATATATCAGAATCTGCCCGAGTCATTCCAAGGTTGTTAAAACCCAGCCAGCCATGACTACCTGAGAATCTATGGATTGAGGTGCAACAAAAGAAAACGACAACAAATCCCCAGCTTCCGCGTACTCCATGAAAGAAGTAATCACATTACAACCTGAATGGACAAATGTTACTATATCTCGATATCTGAGGCTATAAAGTTTGGAGATCTGTGCAGCCAGGAAGCTTGAATAGCAGTGAACAGAACGTCCATGCTAGGAGCAGTCTGTTGTCATGCGGTTTACATCGGGACATTGAAGCAACAGTGGCCAACTATCTTGATAACTAGTCCTGGTACAGGTTTCTATAACAAACAGCTGTGATAGCTCCGCAAGGAAGCCGCAGCACGAGGAATTCATGTAATTATAAAAACAAGAGAAACCACCCTTCCTTGGAATCACAACAACACCAAGGTTGTCCCAGATGTCACACGTTGTGAATGGAGCACTGTTCCGTGTGCCTTCAAAACAGACCCGTCTACAGTGGTGTTACAAATAAGCTATACTTGCACATTCTCCATTCTTGTCTCTTTAATTAAGAAGTATGTCATTGGAATCCCAAGCGGCCGGAAAAATACTGCGGGCAGTGTATAAAGACTTACTGAACTATGAATGTCCTCGGAACGAGATCAGGACATGGTAGCAAGGGGGGCTCTCTAGGAAATTACAAAACTAGTTGAATTCTTGTCAGCTCGATGCAATATCTTTGGTAGCATTTTCAAATGGATTCGGTTAGGTGGATGGTCGAAGGCAGAGTGATCTGCAGAGTAGAAGCTGAGGCATACGACTTATTTTCGAACCACGCCCTAGTCATATTTGACGAGAACCAAAAGTTTTCCAAGTCAGTCCAAAACTGGCAGACTCAAGTCACGAGGAAATAAATTTCGCGCAGACCGTGGAATCATGAGCGGGCCAATAACAGGTGCGGACATCCGATTGCGAGGCTCCCTGCATAGAAGCTTGAGACGTCTATTCTTCCTGGCAATGTGAGTGATTTATCGCTGTTGTTGTTCAGAGGTATGAATTGACTTGTTATTTCACAGATATACATGAGCCTATATATACAAGAATGAGCGATTTCCAATCAACTTGGTCGTCCGTATAGACGCCTCGGAGTTAATTCCGACGGTGCGGCTTGGTTCCTGATCTGCACCAGCTTCATATCACAACAATCGCGTCCTCTGCTGCGCTATATCATTTATCTGTGAGAAATTTTGTGCTCCAAAACACGAACACCATTACTGATTTTCATGCCATTGTACATAGGAGCAGCCCATTGCCACTGTGAAACATCCATGTTGGGAGTCCTATCGCCGGATCGCAGATAAGGCCAAGGTGGCACTACGACGCGTGCTCCATCGCGTCTTGCTCCTCGACCTCACCGCCTTCACACCACGAACGGCGGAGTGTATGAACCTCTCGCCGTACCCATCGCGATGTCTTATCCCATTACGACTGCACAATTTCCTGTCACAAATGGTTCTTCACGCGCCTTTGACTCTCAGAAGCTGCCCGGTGAACCCAGCGCGCCTTCTTCGAAGCGACAACCGGAGAGTGCGACAAACTGGATACAACAGCATGTCAACATGGCATGAATGGTGACTGCATTGATGAAGACAATTGTAAGTGATCCCGTCGGTAAGATATGACCACGAAGCTAATTGGTCGTTTCGTCTCAAGCGAACGTTCTGCGAACTTTATGACCAGGTAAGTCATAACAACTCATCCAAGTGGTAAGCCTTGCTGACTCGTATCATACAACAGGAGATCCCTCATATTCCCGTCACTCAGTTAGAATGCGAAGCGAGCAAGTTTCTTGTCTGCTCGAGCTCCCCTCAACCGATTCGATCGCATGCTTTCTTGCTGTCTATCACTTCCACATGATTTCTGGTGGCATCGACAATGAGTCACCGAAAGGTCCATATCGTCTACCTTGGCCCTTCTCTCAGTCGACTCTGTGCATCATGTCATGTCCCGATGTGACTATCCGATACAAAGTCCAAGCCGTAATGGACTTATGCCACCGTCTCTAGGCACGAACACCACGAAAGAATGGCCTCCATGTGAATTGGATTTCTGGCGTCCAATGGGTGGTCTTCACTGTCCTCGATTCGCATCTCGCGTCGTTTTAAGCCTGGCAGCTCGACAGGCACCGGGATGAGCTCATGCTTCAGTCTGGCTCATGGCGAATGGGTCCTACTTTCGCAGACGAGCAGGCTGTAAGTCTAAGTCTGCGTGCAAGGAGAAGGTGAGGTGGGGCCCCCTATATTTCGAGCCTACAAATTAACATTGGCCATATCAGGTACGAACCGATAAAGGAGACGGTAGGGTCCCGAGTCATAGCCCAGTCAACTATAGAGCCACGAGCAAAGAGATGGCGTCCTATATTTTCACCTGATCTTGCTCCGCGTTGCTGGGCCGGTCGACGTATTCCAGCGGGTGGAACCAAAAAATGGAAACGAGCGAGCGGGAGAGACCAACTGGACATACACGGCGCTGCATCGAAGGCACTGTCAGACATCCTGTGGTGTCTTTGGACAGATCTTGGTATTCTTGATGCCTAGGCACACTTTTTTCTATTCAAGTCAGAGCAACATGTGCAAAGGTGATTTACCCTCGAGGTCACTGCAGCTGCAGGTCAGTCCAGCCGAGCGCGTTTGTCATTTTTTTACTGAAATCGTGTTAGCTCTTGCCAGGAAATGGCCGAGTTCCCTGCGTCCTCTACGTCGAATGTCCTTGAGCATGATCTATTTGTCAGACACTGCGCTTTGACGACATTTGGCATATCACCGTTCGCGCAGATCCTTTGTGAAGGTGGGTTTCTGCACAACTTTAACCACTCCTTCATGACTTCCATATATTTCGGGCTATATTACTATTTACCTTCAAATTGCACCCAAGAACTGTATTTTTCCAACTCTCTGCAGACGATCAAGTACCTGGAGGAGAATTTGGCTCAATGTGCTGCCCAATTAGCAAGATGGACTAATATGGCTATCTTTTTTCAATAATCTGTACTGAAGCTTTGCATCTTTTTTGAGAGATGTTTAATCATACCCAGCCCCGGGGCTGTTCATGTACGTGGCAGCTTCGGCCTGGATTATATCCATCTCTTCACTGGATGGAGGACTCGGCGAGAATACCTCGTCGTTGTCGGAAGCCGAGTCCCACATCTCACGTCTTCTGGATCTTCGTTCAGCCTGTTCAGCTCACATCCAGTCTCATTTGGCTCCTTGAATGCTCTCGTTAATCGCCGACAGACTTGGCATACAGACAACGGTTTCCCGTTTTATAAGCGCCCGCTCTGAATTTTCGACATTCCAGCCAGATGACATATGGTTCGCCTAGGATTTCGGTGATATTGCCAGCGGTATACAGGGTGGATCGAAATGAGTTTCACTATTTACTCCGTATCTACGGTATGATATCATTGATATATTGTACTACGTGGATGAGAAGGGAAACTTCGTTAAAGATTTGTGAAATAAAGCCTTTGCATTTGCATAACAGTACAGGAAAACCTGAATCAGAGAAAACCTTTACCAAGGCCGAAAGAAAGAACAGCAAATGAGTCTAAGTAGAGTCCGCACTACAGACAGAATCAGATATCAAATCAAAGATCGATAGAACAAATAACGTGGTTCCCGGCGGGTCTGTCATCCCACCTCAAATTTCCTGCCCCTACCCAACCACCTCTCTTTAAGCGCCTACCATGCCCCCAGAACGCAGCCAAACCGCTCGAAAATTAGTTGAGCAGGAAGGCAGGATCTTGCTAGCTATTAAGGCTGTTCAAAATGTCAGAATTACCACGGTCGCTGCTGCTGCTCGCTCTTTTGATGTCCCCCGCACAACTCTCGCAGCTCGGATGAAAGGCATTCCTAATCTATATGAAGCAAGGGGTACAGGCCATAAATTCACGCAACTAGAAGAGGAATCAATTTAGGATTGGTTAATCTCTATGGATCAGAGAGGCGCTGCGCTTACAATCGTGATGTTGAGAGATATGGCCAATTTACTGCTTGAACACCGCGGAGATAATGCCCCCCAGACCGTTGGCAAAAATTGGCCAACACAATACATCAAACGACATCCTGAGCTTACCACTCGATTCTCTCGCAAATATGACTACAAACGCGCCCCAATGGAAGACCCAAATACTATTATTGAGTGGTTTAAGCTTGTCGAAAAAACGATTGTTCAATATGGTATTACTTCGGATGATATCTACAACTTTGACGAATCGGGGTTTGCGATGGGAGTCAGTGCGACGACGAAGATTATTACGCAGTCATTTTACACCGGTCGGAGGGGCGTTTTACAAGCTGGCAACCGTGAATGGGTGACTGTTATTGAATCAATTTGCGCCTCCGGACGAGCGCTCCCACCATACGTTATCTTCAAGGGGAAACACTTCATGGTACGATGGTTTGACGACCTGCCAAAGCATTGGGCTCTTAACGTTAGTCCAAACGGCTGGACAAGCAATGAAATTGGCGTTGATTGGCTCCAAAAACACTTCATTCCGCATACAATAAGTCAGACGAAAGGGAAACATCGTCTTTTAGTCCTCGGTGGCCACGATAGTCATCTTACAGCAACATTCGACAAGGTTTGCCAGGAAAACAATATTATACCAATCTGTATGCCTCCGCATGCCTCTCATCTTTTACAGCCTCTAGATGTTGGTTGTTTTGCTGTTAAAGCGCTCTTACGGAAGGCGGGTTGCGGAATATACCCGATTAGGCATCGATTCTATCGAAAAAGATGACTTCCTTGATATCTTTCCAGCGGCTCGTGACAACTCGTTTAAAGAGTCTATCATTCAGAGTGCCTTCGCAGCTACTGGTTTAGTACCATTAGACCCCGATCGGGTGTTATCAAAACTCAATATTCGTCTTCAATCTCCGCCTCTACCAGATCGACCAGTTTCACAAGGTTCAACATCAGGCAGCAATATCTCTACCGGCATCCCCCGGACGACTAAGCAGCTAGAAAAACGCAAATCTAGGCTCAATTCTGGTCTAAGTTCAGCTGCTGATAAGATCACGTCGCCTACAAAACGTGATCTTCAACAGTTTTACAATATGTCGGTTAAGCTAGTTCACGAGCATGTCTTAATGCGGGATGAAATCAAGCGTTTACGGGAGGGAAATAGAAAGCAGACCAAAAAAAGGGAGAAATCAAAGAAGAGAATGCCTAATATAGGTAGTTTAACAGAGGTTTTAGATCTTGCTACCGAAGTTGGTGGAGAGGGAGGTGTTGGTGTAAGATATATATCTGATGTTGCACCTGCTCCAGAACCCCAGGTTGAACCTACACTTCCTGTTTTGCCCCCTGTACGTCGGCAAATTACATGTTCTAAATGTGGAGTAAAGGGGCATAGTTTTACAAAATGCCCGCAGAAGGGTTAAATTGTCAATTTAATGGTGTTTTGGTTGTTTAATTGGCGTTTAAAAAATATAAAATTTTTGAAGTTTTGATGGGGTGACAGACCGGTAGGGATGACAGACCCGCCGGGAACCACGTTAGTAAAAAGGTGTTGTTAGCAATTCTCGGGGTGGTCCGATGGCGAGGTCTAGATGTTGACCACCTCCTTCACCGCCCGACCATTCACCACAACGCTCACCACAACTGTTGATTGATAAGTGATGCCTCAGTGTTCATATTATTGAGGGGAGTTGATTGTGTGTTGTGTATTAGATACAAGCAGGCTAGTAGACAGATATATATATGTATGCACGTGATCCCAGCCCCATGATCATCTCAGTAACCGGGATATTCAACAGTTTCACAACACACATCTCACCATATCAACACTCACCATCAACACTCGCACCAACACACACACAACACTCACACAGTCTTCATGGCTCACCACAATAAACATTTTCTCAAAACAAGCATCCCAGCACAACACTCACAGCTCTGTTTGCTCTACGCCTGAATGAAAGATGCTAATCTCCATTACGGCGAAGGAATTATCGGACCACAAACTATCAAGGCAGAAGAATTGGGAATACGTCCTTTGTTAGCGAAGACAATTCAATTGTTATTTTAAAATTTTGGCCATTGAATTTGGGATGATCTTTCGTTATATCTATCCAATGATGATCCTGCGGAATATAAAACAGATGAGGAAGATGTTGCGCAGGTCTTGGGTTCTTCGAGTGCACATTGAGCTACTCGAATACTAGTCCCCAGCACCACGGAGAAGTGCCTGCACATCGCGGGGGGAGCCATAACAAGTCCTTGGCGAGCCAAGTCTTGCATGACTGAGCAAATTTTTACAATCACAGGGCTCATTGGCTGTGAAGGAGCACGTTTTTACAGTCACAGGGCTCATTCTCAAATCCTCTTCTGCCGCAGCTTCAATAACAAAAGGGCATGAGAAATACTATAGTCTCGAAGCGCACCGTCAAGGAACCAAATACTGAGAGCGGGGACCTTAACCCCAATGTTGAATCGAAACAAGTGAAAGATCATCAAAAGGTCACAGCTAAACGCTATGAAAAGCGTTGACTACCTCAAATTACATCCAGCACTTCGTCATTTTTACGTCTATTGCAGTTTTGCTGAATTGTAACTATATCTTATTTACCTTTGACCCCTCACAACAAGTTAATTTGACCACTAGACCAAAATACGAATCCACACCCAGCCTAGTGGGTAGTGGTTTGGAATCCAACTCAACAGGCGATATGCGACTAAGCATATCTGTGTTTGGTGCTAGCTTGATGGGACCAAAGGTTGATATCATTCTGATGTGATTGGCGCCCGCCTATCAGTGCATCTGAGAAAACAGTCGGACCATTCTCATTTGTCGGATAGTTTTACCGTGATTCGGCTGTCTTGTACCCCACAATTACACTTGCCAGACTCTTTGTATGCGCTTGTGTGTGAAGACAACTTAGCGATGGATATCTCCATTGAAGACACACACACCTAATAAAATCACAAATATGGCCGGCGAGGAAATTCCTTTATGGGCCATGGGGATCGCTACCTATCGAACAATATTTTATTGTATGATAACACAACTTCTCCATTACACTGACCGTTTGTTAATACCCTCAATGGAAAAACTGGAATCACTTCTCAACCGACACACCTAGCCAGCAGCGGCAGCGACTTATCCATAAGTTTCTTGAACGTGATAAGATCACCGAAGAATCTCTTTTCCTTGATGAGCTCCCTCCACGAATGCCCACGCCAGAGGAGATTGGCCTTATTCTTCACCCGTGGCGGTCCGATGACGTCATTCGTCGGAAGGCATATTATTTGTCCAAGGATAGCGTGCTTGTTTTTCTTCGGACCCATTATGACCCGGAAGATGATGGCAAAATGAACGAATGGGTCTCTGAAACCGATCCGTTCGAGGACAACTCCTGGTGGGCATGTCTCAACGATCCACACTTATTCAATTTCGGCTCGAATTGGCAGCGGGTATACGAAATCATGCCCGAGGTAGCCGGTTTCGTTTATCGTTCTCAACGATTCGCTCCTCCAAGAGAACTACACTGTTTTCGAGCATCGTTAAAAAAAGGGTCCACCTACGAAGGAACAAAAGGGCGCCGATGAGTGTATAGAGAAGCGGATTAGAAAAAATCGGCTACGTGAGATCAACATAGCGGCGTATATTGTCATTGCTGATCAAGAGGCTTTTCAGTCTGGGCTGTTACGCCTGCTCTGTTTGGATGATCGACAAAACATTACCTGGGAGGTACGCGTGGATCAGAAGCCAGCTGAGATCACGGAACTTATCTTGCAGAGGAACCCTATCCTTGGACTGTGAGGTTAAATGGGGGTGGGGTTGATGGGAGTGGTCGTTTGCGCTGACGACCCGAGAAATTATTCACTACGGTCCCGTCCTCAGGTAAATGACATCCATCAGCACGTATGTTGGGCAACTCTGCGGGCAGACTCTTCCGTATGCCTAGGGCATATGGAAAGCAGTTGTTTGAACTAAGAACTCATACAGCGTCAACGAGTTCCACAAGCTGATTGAATGCAACAAGTACACCGTATTGTACTTCATCGATTCCAATTTTCAACCTGGATTAGTAGCCAAAGCGACCTACACGCACATAATTACCGCAATACCTACTGGGATGTTAAGCATAGTCAATATTAATGAATGAAAGCTCTGCTATCTCCTTGGGTGATAATGCCAAGGAAGACATGATGTTGGTTTTTATGAATGGGAAGGAGATAGCAAGACATCCCGGCTAGCATGGGTGGCACGGTGGTACCGGCTGGGAATCCGATCTCTCACAGGCACTGTCTGGCTTGCAGGTCCACGAGGTATTCTATAAATGCCAGCAGAAACTTTCAGGACTGGGTTAGAGGGGAGGAACTTATCAGGCGCCTCAAGCGCATGGCCTGCTCCACTTTTGCGTAGTCAAGTGATTAAATTGTAGAGCAAATTGCGGGGGGTAGAGGACGTATTATACCGCAGCTTTATAACACCGTGGTTTTCAAATTCATCATTATCCCTGAGTGTTTAGAATTATGGACGACCAAGGAAATTGCAGTCTCGAAATGCAATCTGCCGGAATGCTAGATAGCTTGAAATATAACTTGGTATATTTCTTGAAGCGAGCCGTAGCAACCGCCTACCTTCAGATCCCTAATCTGCCGCCCTTCTCCAAAAATCGCTGTCATTGTCAATGTCGTAGTCATCATCATCGTCATCGTCATAAGACATTTGGCATACCACGGTTCAAGCACATTCATCATAGAGGTGGGCTTGATGTCTGTAACAACATCACCAAAAGGCATCCCGCTGTGGGACCTCTTGGTCTCCTACCACCTGTACTGGATCTCCTACCCCTAACCAGCGCTCATGTCTTGTTTGCCTTCGGGGGATGGTCTAAGCGCATGCCTGTTGTGATTACAAACCAACTAGATTACCACTTACGATGATACAAGCTTGCGACGGCTCCCATATGTAGATAGAGCCGATCGTAGTTTTTGAGCTGGCTTGCGCAAAGCTGTCAACAACGTGCTTGTCTTTGGTGCAAAGCTACCGTTATTCTTGTGATCGCTCTAGAATGTAGGCATTCTAATGTAGAGCAGGCTCGAGTGACTTGTAATCGCCGACTGAAACGATGATTCTGACTACGCAAGCAACAGAGTACTGTCTAGAAATCCTGGCGACACACTGAGATATCGGTTTATTTACTATCCTGCTATACGCCTTTTACACCTCTTTGTATTGGTCTTTTTTTAAAACCTTTTTCGTCGTATTGTTTGAAGCATATTCACAACTTCCTTTCAACCTTGAGTAAATAAGGGCTGAGTATCATCTCATCCAGGTGCAGCCCAAGGGTTTCAATGCTGAGTGTTTCCAGACTTTTCAGACACTATGTACTATCAGGAAAGTTGCATACAACATGATTGGGTGAGATTTTGTCTGTGCGTATCATTTTGCTGACCCACACCTCTTTGTCCCATTATAATCTTTCTCAATAGTCCAGAAGATGATGTACTTACTTTCATCCCCCTTGAACCATCTAAGGATATCCTTACGCCACCATCTCATAGGCGTCAATCCATTGATCCATTCACCAAAGGAGACCCGACTGTTGCAGCATCAAAAGCAGCATGCTCGCAAGGTTTAACTGAGCTGCTAGTCCCCTTGATAGAGATAGGAGTAGTGCTGCGACCGATTTTTATCATAGAAAACTTCTGCAGCGATAATTCGTCCCGAAAGAAATTCTAAAGAGATTTCCATACGGTATCCTCGTTGTTCGTTCTCCATATAATGCTTCAATACTGTTGGTATCATGGAGAAAAAAAGTCTGAAAGGAAAGAGTTGCTTGAAGGAAGAAAATATTTGGAAGCAAGGTCTAAGACAAAATCAGACTGAGTTGGTGCTGAAATTCTAGGTAACCCCAACAACTAAATTCCTGTTTCACCATGCACCCGCATAGCCTCAAAACACAAACAAACGGTAAAGACAGAAATGTTCTCTCGCACAGGTCCAAAATCACAAATAACCTAGACGACCATCTCACGGCTAATGGTGGAACACCTCCTTCATGGAAGCGTACACCTTGACCTTCAGATTAGAAGACCACACAGGTGTCTGCCCAGAGTTGACAGTGTACGCCACTGATTGGGCAATCTTGCCTACAGCCCGCTTAGGGAAGTACAGAGCGTGCTTCCAGTCAATGAAGACCTCATAGCCATCATCCTGGTCATGAATGAGGATGGAAGGTGTTGTGCCCTTGAACCTCTTCTCCAGCGGAATACGAACCTCCTTTCCAAAGGAGTTGTTGATCTTGGTGTTGAAGACAATTTGGTTCTCAGATCGTCTAATGGAGAGGAGGAACAGGATATCGCCGTCTCCGTTCTTGCCATCGGTCAGATAAATCTGGGTGTTATCAATGCCTGAGGTCTTGGCCGGGGTCAGGTTCAAGCTGGTTGAGTCGATGATCACCACGCCGTCGGCCTTCAGGGCTTGCTTGAAAGGCAGGGAGGAGTTGACCTTGAGACCGGCCTTGGGGATCACTGCAACGACTGGAGGTGCGACTGTCACGGGCTGCTTGAGGCCTGGGTTCAGGGCACCGCCTGGTCCACCGGAGATGGTAGGCTCTTCCTTGAAGTTCTCCAGCTTTGGAGGCTTGGTAGGGTCATTGTAGACTGTCGAGTCGTTGGTGCTTCCGATTATCTCGAGGTCGAGAGCCTCCACTTGGTACGAAGGTACCTCCTTACCGCCCTTGAACACTCTCCAGTAAGCCCTGCTCTGAATGAAGTTCAAGACATCTTCCCTACCAAGACTGGCAAGGTCCTTGCCGGACTTCAGAAGAGTGATCAAGATCGGGGTGAGAGAAATGCTGGCAGTGGACTTGATGTTCTTGCTCTTGTTGTCCTTGCAGTTTCCACAGGCAAGCTTTCCTCCATTGTCCTCAGGCTTCTGACTGAAGTTGTACACCTCAGTAATCAAGTCCTGAGTTGCGTTGTGTGTCTTTCCATCTTGCGAGATGTAGATGCGAATCCAGAAGGGGTCACCACCATCAAGGGCATATTTGCGGTAGCGAATGCTGAAAGAATAATCGAGAGATTTGGAGCCGTCCTCCAAGTAGTCCACTCCCTTAATGTTGTTGGTGGCATCGACCAACTGCTTTCTAGATACACCGTATAGGTCGTTAACGGTTTGTCGGAGGGTTGAGATGAAGCTCTCGGAGGTGTAGCCTTCTGGCTTGTAGTTCCAGGTCTGCAACTCCGGGTATGTGTAACCGAGCTTGTAAGGCCAACGGATATCCTTGGGCTTCATAAGAGTTCCGGTGGTGTCTTTGTGGAATGGACGTAGCTCTGTGTCTGGGGTAATGTCGGTGCCATCGGGAAGGCCAATTGTCTCCTGGAAGAATGCGTTGACCTTCGCCTTCTCGAACCACTTGTCCGGGTTGAGAGCTTGCCATAGGGCAAAGATGCGATCGATGTTACTAGAAAATTGTTAGAATCTGGGGATGGCACTGATGGAAATGAACTTACCAGTGGTGAAGCCAGAAGATAGGATCAAATGTCGCCACTGGGATTTGAGACATGTGTCCGTTGAGGTCACCACCAACCCAACCGTGAATGTTGTTGTGAACTGGAGTTTGTCAAAGAAGAGTCAAAGAGTAGAATTTCAAGGGTAACTTACTGTACTCAAGGTTAATGTCATGTTGGACGTTCTGGTTATCCGACAATTGGGCCGTGGTTGCGAAGGTAGAATATTCCATGGGAACTGTGAGCAGACGGTAGATCATCTCGGCAGGCTGACCGTAAGAGGACTCGCCCAGCCAAATTGGCTTCTTCAGTGCTTCCTGCACCTTGTAGTTGTTCACCACACCGTACTTCCATGTATGAGTACCAGAGGCACTCTCGCCCTCATCGGGCCAACGGGTTGTTCCAATACATTCACCGAACTATCTCAGTTAGAACAGATTCTTACTCTCTTGAATTGGAACATACATATAGCATTTCTCCATCGGGGACCCAGGGATCCTTGAAGTTATCAACGCCAGCAGTGGACATGGGCTGGTTGGTCGGCATGCGGAATTGGAAAAGCGGGTTGGGGATGTTTTCTTCGCCGGTACCATCCGAGGTCGGGACAAATGTATATGGATACTTGCACAGATCGGGGACTGAAGTAGACACACCCCAGTCCCAGAATGGCAGACGCCATGCATCGGCGGCTTCCTTCCAATCGGCGCGGATGTCCTCCGCGAAAGCAGGAACAATCTCCCGACTCATGATTTCGTAGAGACGTTGCTAAAAAGTTATTAGTTCATATTAAAAACCGGGATGTGGGTGCAGTCCATTACCTCGTAAAGTGCCAGATAAGCTCGGTGCCAGATGGGGAAGAGGATGTTGTTATGAGTGCAGTATCCTCTTCCCTCTGCATCCTTGGAGTCAATAGGCTCATCCCACGGTACATTGGGCTGTCCGTGAATTCCAGCAATTTGGAAGTACGAGTCTCGATCTTTGGGGTCAATCTTCTGGAAGCGAGACAATGCCAGCACAAATAGCTTGACTTGCTTCTCGTTCACGGGGTCGTTGCTCCATGAGTCGATTTCCTGACGGATAGGAACTTGCACCTCAGGACCCAACTTGGATGGCTCCTCGGAATTCACCGGGATTCCATTGATGGGGTAGTACTTCCACTCGGGGGTTGTCATGGTGATGGCTTTTTCTGATTTTGATTGATATGAACAAAGTTTTTGAGAAGAAACATCTAGGGAGCTTGTCTGGCTTAGAAATATTATTTATATTCAGATAATTCCTACGAGTAAGATATACAAGTCATATTATTTTTCTATTTTTTTCAGGTGGGCGGGTATGAGCTGAGGTGATGGCATAGCATGCTAGGGGTGATTCGGGAACGTTCGGGTAGTACACATTCATGCAGATGCATGAGCCTCGCTACAGCTATGCACTGGGGTTTATGCGCATACTCAGGATGAAGTATGCACAAGTCTGCATATATATTCCGGGTTCTGGACCCTAGGCTTTTGTAATTATCCGATTATAAGGTTTGGAATAGATCTATATACAATGGTGCGACACACGACTAGAGCTATCATCTCTCATGGAGATAACGAGATATCTCGTAGAGAAAAATTGTCCAATCGCAATAGAGCTCTTTGCTTTTTCCTGTAGCAGCTGTCGATCAGTGTCTCTGAGCTCAGCGCCCCACTGCTCGAGCGTGGCGCCAGCTACATGATCGTCTTGCGCAAAATCCACACACTATCTGTTTGCGTCACACCATGAGCATATATGAAACTACTGCAGAATATAGAACATCATGACGTCGGGATACGACCTTCCGACTCAAACAATCACATTGACCCCCTTGGCTTCATGGCGAATACGCACTGGTCCATTTGAGTGGGTTCTTATTCAAGTGTGCAGTGCCCTGTATATATATTTTATCCCTTGCAATTGATCTGTTGGAATTGCGACCCTCTTCATTCAACGATTCTTTCGCGTTGAAATTTTTATCTCAATCTTCAAGATGGATTGCAATCCAGCTATCACCACGGTCTCTCTCGGGTCGTGCAACTTTCACAGCATTACCAAAAAGATTGATGAAGCCGCCCGAAATGGATTCAAGGCAATCGAACTCTTTATCGATGACCTCGAGGCCCTCGCCAGAAGCATCAGCTCGACACCTGCTACCTCCGTCCCTTCTCATGAATCTGTGTTAGCCGCTGCTCATCAGATTCGCAAGCAGTGTGACAAGTTAAACGTTGTCATACTCAACCTCCAGCCTCTGCGCTTCTACGAGGGCTTGGTTAGTCGCAAAAAGCGCAACCAAATCCTAGACGAGGTACTTCCGATATGGATGGACGCGCTGAAGATCCTAGGTGCAGACACTATTCTGGTCCCCTCAAATTTCCTTCCCGAAGACCCTGCGACTGGACTCCCCCAGACAGTCGGAGATTTTGACATAATCGTTGAAGATCTCCGTGTTCTGGCAGCACGAGGCACCCAACATGGACACTCCATCAAATTCGCCTATGAGGCACTCGCCTGGGGCACACATGTTAATACATGGGAAAAGTCGTGGAAAATCGTCCAGGCAGTCGATCGGCCGAATCTAGGCCTCGCCCTGGACACGTTCAACATAGCCGGCGCCATCTATGCCGATCCCACCACAGAAGACGGTCGTATTGCGGATACGGCGGAAGCCGATCTCTCTGCCTCATTGGGCCGTATGGCCTCTAATTTGGATGTCAGCAAGCTGTTTATCGTCCAGATAGCCGACGGGGAGCGTCTCAGCCAGCCGCTCCGCCCAGGTCACGCTTTCTATGTTGAAGGCCAACCCAGTCGACTGAGCTGGTCTCGACACTGTCGGCTTTTCCTTTGTGAGAGTGACCGCGGAGGTTTCTTGCCTGTTCTTTGTATACTCAAGGTTATTCTGGATCTCGGCTGGAAGGGGTACCTTGCGTATGAGGTCTTCTCGCGTTCATTGGCAAACAGTGATCACCGGACACCAGCGCAACATGCAGAGAGGGCGAAGCTATCCTGGGAGGCGCTCTGCAGGATTTCAGGGACTAAGATGATTCATACTGAACACACTGAACCTACCAGTCCCAGTGGGTTCCAGTTACCCGGAATGGGATTATTCGAGACAGTGGTGCATGAGGTGGAGAGAGGGATAGAAACAGGGTTCTCGTTTGGAAAAATTGTATTATAATAAATCTTTAAATGAATCTTTCTGCTGTTTTCCGGAACCAAAAAAGCCATGGCACGTCAGTAAGAATTTAGCTGCATAATTTGTTGAAAGACGAGTCAACTGACCAATAGCAATCGAATTTCACACGAGTGGCTTGCCAACGCATATGATAGATACACTTTGATCACAGTGTTCCTAGTCAAGAGCGGGCGATATAAGATTGTAACATATATCGGATCAAAGTTACGTGCGAAAATTAGACATCGGCACCGGGGGAGGCTCAAGTTGGTGATTTTTACGATCGACTACATGTAAAAGCAAGTACTTTGCCACAGCACTTGGTTATGCAGGCGAGGAACGTGAACTCTTGGCCAGGACCCTTGACTACATGAAAAAAAACCCGGTCAAGCTGCATTTCTAGACACTACAGAAGTATCTCAATAATGCAATTTTTGCCGACAGCCATGCACATATACTGGACACTTAGGCGTGTTTGTGTTGGTCAGAAATGGCCGGCTGAGAAGTGATAGGCGTGCATATAAGTGGGGTGATGACCAATATTACCCCAGGGCTGAGTTGCAGCAGATGAAAGCAAAAATGAACTAGATCTCGAACTTATCACATTACGAGGCGAAGATGTGACCGATACCCCGCAGATTCCACTCCACAATAGCAGATCATTTAGCGTGATATTATTAAAATGGAGTATTTCACTGGTCGGCTATAATAGATGCACTCTGGGTTGAGCTCACTTCGTCACTGCATAATTGTCTTTGCATGATTCAGCTCCCCAACAAGAACTAACCACCTTTCTGGTTACACAATTAAAAGAAAATAACACTAGGGGAGCGTTCATGCAGTCGGGTAGGGAAGGGAGATCTGCAAGGTACGGGGACTCCGAACTCCTCTTTGTGATAATTGCATTTTGCGAACGCAACATCGCTGTCAATATGATAAGCTACAGTATACAACATCTATTTCCCAGTCAATTGGCTCATGTCATATCTGAAATTTAACGTGGCAATATCAATCTTGTCGCCTATTAGCTAAGTACACACCATTCGAAATATATTTTGGTGCAAAGCACACTCAACAATCATTCTCATTGGCCTTCCCCTTTTCGATTTTCGGCGGGGCTGCCGACATGAAAAAGAACGAGGAAAGCCCAGCGACCAAACATAGAATCCCAAGGACTAGCGTCATGAATCCCCAGCCCAATTCACGTTTGATGAATCCACCAGCCATCGGGCCAAGCGTTTGACCGGCAGCAAATGCCATGTTGCAAAGTGCATAGCCCCGTCCCTGTCCGCTGCTCTTCTCCTCCGTGATCCCGTGGAGGCTTTCAATCCTCCGGACTGCGTTTGAGACATCACCCATGATAATTGCTTGCACTGTTGTGAGACAAACTCCGACAACGAAAAGCAAGGAAACGAGAGCGATTTCATGCTGGATCGTGTTTGCTTGAGTCCACCGCATGGATACCATTGGTACTGCCATCACGAAAAATCCAGTCACCACAACCGCTCGTGGGGAGAAATGTCTGACAAAGTGGGCAATTGAAATGCTGAGCACGGAAGGTATCGTCATTGGGAGGAATACGAGACCCGCGCCCAGGCTAGACCAATGGTATGTGTCGAGCACATAGAGTGGAAGTGTCTGCATCTTTGTCAGCTGTGGCATTCCTTATACTGTGGGAAAGGTGACGTACCGTTTCAAAGGCAGATAGGATGGAAGAAATCGCGAAGACACAAAATATCACGCCCAACATGATTGGGTGCAAGAAATGATAGAAGCTCAACACAGTTTCGTCAGAGATATCATTTTCCAAGAGAGGAGAATCCTCGTGCTGGTTGATTTTGGTTTCATCTGCATGTCTTTTTGTTAGCACCTGACAAAGTGAAAAATGAAGCTGCGACAGACCTTCATCCTCCTGTACAATCAACATTCGCAGACAAATGTCAACGACAAGCAGTACAATCGGAACCCCGAAAGCACCAATAGTGCCAAATTTGGAAAACCTAAATTTTTAGAAATTGAAGTCACCAATGGAATGGAAATGTTGGAAAACGTACAAGAAACCACCAGCCATAGGGCCACAGAGCATTCCCCACGTCAATGCTGCAGACCCACAAGCCATATGCGAACCCAAATGTTCGGGACTGGCTGTTTCGGCGATCATGCTCAAGCCTAGAACACCCACAACTGCGCCCGAGAAACCCTGGAATACCCGAGCCAAGAGAAGCACCCAGACATTACTTGCAGAAATAAATAGCACGGTCGCCAGGGCCATGGCGATGAGACCACAAACCAGAGGTGCTTTCCGGGCGCGATATTTGTCGCAAAAATAACCCACCACCACTATATCTCAATCAGCACATGAACAATTAATTGATTTGAGAATTACCCACGAGAGCCAAGCAACAGAGCGCCGCCATAACTCGCCAACAGCATAGACGACCATTTTTGGACTAATAGGGGTCAATAAACATTTTCAAGTTATGGGAAGAAAGTTTAGAAATTACCGTCCCTTAAAGCCATGTTGTCAGGGCCCATCAATAGGAAAGGCAGGATGGGTACAATCTAGGAATGCGTCAGTTCCTCCATGGATTTTTGTGAATCGCTATGACATCTTGAGATGGGCGACAACACTCACAATGCCATAAATAAAAGTGTCCTATCGTAACGGTTCTTTAAGTTAGTTGTTGCTTAATTTCGAATTGAACACCATCTACCGTGAATAGGGCAAAACATAGAGCGACCAGTATAAAGGTACTAGAGGATCTTGTTTTGCTAGTAAATTTTTTTTGCACACCCATGATGGCTGAGAAATTCGTGGGTTGTTCAGTCGACAAAAACGAGCCTTTTCAGGAATATATGCCAATTCAATAGGATGAGAGCCAACTCCAATGAATGTATGTAAATTGATTAAGCTGCAAGAGACGGGTAAATGAAAAACAGAGAGGAGAGACTAGGATCTGCAAAAATGGGTAAGACAAACTAATGCATCAACGACAAAAGAAAGGGAAATGACGAGTATCGACCTCGGGAGTCGTGAGGAGCTGAAAAAATGCTGTGCAGCTGAACCAATAAAGCGACGAAAATACGAATCGACGATCAAATGGAAGATTCGGGGTTTGATCCACTCAGGTTACACAGTTCCTTACAGCAAAAAAAAAAAAACCCCCCAAAATGAGAAAAGAAATTGAACATGCATTGCCAATCACCGTAGTATGCACTGTAGAATACAACTGCGTCTGATGCATGAACCACATCCACTATGGTAAGAAGCTGAGCTTCTTCGTGAAACCCCTATCCCAATATTCAATTGAATTTATCTATTTATTGGGCCTTGGGACATGCAATGGAATATGTTAAACGGTAATTCTATGAGATTTACTATCCTTACAGCCACTATCCTTCATCATGGCGCCTTCAGTCACGAGTCTTGAACACGAGTGCTCTGTTATACCAATCAACACCTTGAAGCTATCCAAAAGAGCTCCAAATCAGGTCCCGCAACAAGTCGTCGATCTCCCACTTACTCTTTCCGAATCTCATGTAGTTGAGGCGGCAAATTCCCAATACTTGGAGTATTTGGACCCAGAATTAGATCAGGGTCTGGACATCGAGTCGGTTCTCGTTGTCTGCTGGCTACTGGTGGTATATGGCTTCTCTCCCGTGAGAACAATGTACCTGGCCTTCCATGCTGGGTCAAATCTATGCCATATAGATGGCAAAAGTCAGGGTGCCAACTCTCGCGCTCTTGAATTTTCCTCGGAGCGTCCTTTGAAGGATCTCGTTCGGGGTTTTTGTCGTATCAAGGCGGGCATCACCTCGAGTGATCCTGACGAAGGGTCGGCTTCCGATGAGAAAAATCACCTTCTCACTTCGGTTATCCGTTATGCCGGTGACCGTAAAGCTTTGCAAGAGGCACCCCTGCTGGGCAACTCAAAGGTATCTTTATACCGTGATCATGCGTATTTCTCCCCTCGCCTATCCAGCCCAACTGATCTCGCTTCATTCTAGATCCCCAATGCAAAGCTGATGCTCAACGTGAAAAACTCAAATGGCAATTTGCACGCGAGCCTCGCGTTCTCGCCGCTTGAGATGTCCAGAGAATTTGCAACAAGTCTTCTTCACTGCTTCAACAAGGTCGTCGGATCCATATACCGCTCCCCCGCAACTTCTCTGGGCGACCTTGATTTATGCTCCGATCTGGACCTCATTCTCCTCCAAAAGTTTACGAAAGAGGTCTCGGAATCTCACGAGGTCCTGCTACATGACATGGCATTGGAGCATGCACGACTGACACCGGATGCTCCTGCAATTTCCTCCTGGGATGGAAAATTCACCTATAAAGAGTTGGATGATCTCACAACTCGTCTTGCTCTTCACTTGACCACAATTGGCGTTGGTGCCGAAACCTTCGTGCTCAGTTGTTTCGAAAAGTCGGCTTTTGCAATTATTGCGCGCCTTGCTATTTTGAAAGCCGGCGGAGCGTACATATCCATCGATGCCAGCGATCCTCCCATTTTCCTCGACTCGGTTATCACTCGCGTCAACGCTAAAATTATGCTTACATCTCCCGAGTGTGCATCAAAATATACATCGCTCATTTCAAACGTCATTTCGATCACAGAAGAGAGTCTAAAAGAACTTCCCACCGGACCGCTTTCTTCCACAGTCCAACCAGGAAACGCCTGTCTAATTCTATTCACTTCCGGTAGCACGGGTCAACCTAAAGGCATTATCCAGGAACATCGATCTTACGCCACAGCAATCCGCGATTACAACAAAGTCCTTGGTCTCGGCCGACACAGCCGTGTCTTCCAGTTCGATGACTACGCATTCGACATCAGCAACAATGATTACCTCACAGCTTTGGCAGCCGGTGGCTGTTGCTGCGTTCCGACACCCGAAAAGACCATATCGGGCCTGATTGAAAATATCAACCTCATGAAGGCTAATATGAGCTTCATGACTCCAACAATCGCAATTCAAATCAATCCCAAAGACGTCCCATCGCTGGAACTGCTCTGCGTCGGAGGCGAGCCCATGTCAAATGACCTCCTCATGAAATGGGGTCCTCACGTCAAGCTGGTAAATCAGTACGGAATGGGCGAGGCAGCCACCTTCTGCGCCTACAATGACAGCCCCAAGGCAGGCCATAATGCCGTTGTCGGCAAATCTGGTAGCGGTGCCATTTGGATCGCGAACGCTTCTTTGCCTGAGCGGCCAGTGCCCGTCGGCGCTGTCGGCGAAATCTTGATTGAAGGTCCCCACCTCTCTCGTGGGTACTTGGATGACCTATGCCAGAAACCCGATGTGGGATTCCTCAGTGAAGTTCCTCGGTGGATTGCGGATCTCCAACCATCACGAGCATTAACCTCCCGTATTTACCGGTCCGGTGATCTGGGGCGGTATCGCCACGATGGCACGGTGGAGCACATGGGTCGAAAGGATACACTTCTCAAACTGAACGGTGGTCGTGTTGAGTCGACTGAAGTCGAGTACATCCTTCGAAAAACTCTTTCACCTGGTGATTTCACCGTAGTCGATATGCTCGGTGAGATTGACGGTAGCGATGATCCCATCCTGGTGGCTTTTGTTTACCTTGTTGATAACCCGGCAAACCTTCTTCCCGGAACCTCAGACCTTGAAATGTCGTTCCTTCCGATAACGAATCGTGTCAGAGTAAACAGGCTGGTAGAGGCGATGCATAATGAAGTCTCAAGCACACTGCCGAAGCACATGATGCCCAGCTTGTTTCTCCTTGTCGACCGAATCCCCCGCACAAGGTCTAACAAGCTTGACCGCAGAAAGTTGCATCAAATCGCCCAAAAATGGTATATGGCGAATTGAATCTTGTAAAGCCTCAATGTTTTTTTATTTCCTTGCTTGTTTCGGTGTTTCTTTATTTTTGCTACAGTCATGTAGAAAGCTCGCAGACTTAGAGTTTGAGGCTATGTACAGGGCCAAATTAGAAGCCACCCTCTTAGATGATACTTAACTAAATCGAACCTGTCACTGAAGACTTCATCGGTTATGAAAAAGACTCGCGAGTGCTGTACTATACGTATCATGCTTCTAGCCATCGAAAAACCAAAGGATGTGTATATCAATCCCCCGAATGAATGAATAAACAGACATCAGCATTAAACGTGAGATCAAACAAGCAGGAACATCTAATTTTTTGCTCCCCTGGGGTTTAAAAATAATGTGAAAACAAAACAGTCAGGCACATCCGATATTAGTTGTTCCAACGCCGGAACCAGGGGTCTTCTGAGCGTGATTCTAGCATCGAGCTCAGCCCCATGTAGAAATAGTGTTCGAATGATGCTTTTTCTGCCATTCCCAGGAATGCTGGGATTTGTTGCAGCGTAGAAAAGTGCGCTCCACCCTTTCCAGTACTGATGCATGTTTTTGAAGTTCGGATTGGCGCCAAGATGTAATAGCAGGCGCACAGTACGTGTGCATGAATGACCAACTGCTGTTTGAAGTGGCGTTCTTCCCATGTTGTCTTGGGATTCTATTTGAATACCAGAGTCTATGAGAATCTTTATAATTCCGGGAGTAGCGTTCTTAGAAGCCGCGATGTGCACGAGGCTCATCCCAGTTCGACGGTCCAAGATGTGTGTATCAGCCCCATGCTTCAAAAGCAATACCACTTTGGACTCCTGGTTTGACCGGACTGCCTCCAGCAATGGAGCGTGCTTGTCAAATACAACGGAATCGGCCATGGCACCGTGTTCCAAGAGCAACTTGGTGATCGCCACGTCGCTACGACCATTTGTCGCCACAACCAAGGGTCTTCTTGATCGGGCGTCGGCCACATCTGGTAAAGCCCCATTCTCTAACAGGGTTTGTACAACACTGTTATGCTTGTTATTGACAGCCTCCAGAAGAGCTGTCGACTGTGCCCGATTCGACAATCGAAGATTAACATTCGCACCTGCACGCAGCATATTGCGCACTCCTAGCTCGCCCCCGCGGCTGGCGTACCACAAAAGGGCTGATCCATCATCAGAGCGGATATTATTTTGTAGAGCTCATTGGTCAGGAGATGGTACAACTTTTGGCTAGTCCGGAGGAAGCTGAGAAGGTCTTTTGGCGAAGTCAAATGGCTTGAAATGAGCAAAGCCAGTTCCAGTAGTAGAGAGAGAAGAGACATCGCGAGATGCTTGGACAAATGGCAGAGCTGTCACTCAATAGAATGAGTGAAGGATTTTTCAAATCTTGCTTGAGCTAAGCGGATCAAAAGCGGTTGGCCATTATGTACCAGGCGATAGGAAAACTAAAGCAGAATAAAAAGCAGATTAGAATTCAGTCGATGCTTATTATATATGTGATGAGGGCAATTAAGTCGCCGCCTGTGGTCCGATCAGGTCGTGTTGAGGTGTTGAAAAGGTGGCCGTGATAATCGTTATCCCAATTGAACACTTCCAATAGCCCCTTCCATGAAAGTCGGGACTTGATCTCCTATAAGAATTTAATGTCATCAAGCCTGGTCAGCACCTTTGTTCTTCATGCAATGCCGATATACAACCGAATATTTTTGGATGTCTTTGGGTATTTGCGGGCAAAAGCAATCCTTTTCCCGTTTGTGAGGCTGCCCGAAGACAAAGAATAATGGTTGTTTTACCCGATATGATGGCCTTTGATGTGAGTAACGGCTGGGCATCTTGGGTGTGGCGTTGAACTGTTAATAAGATTAACGTTTGTTGCAAAGTCAACGATAGGAACCCGAGCCCAGTTCTCAGGACAACCATGTGAACCAGTTGAACAACCAAAGGCCAGGATCTGGTTCCTCGTCGATCGCCACCCACCTCGCGAGATTGCAACGCTACTATCACATTCTGCTGGTACCCTGGTCGCACGCAGACAATGATTCCATGGATTCCGTGATTTATAACCATTAATTCGCTCCGGCACATGGAAATTTGTTTGTAAAACTCCAGTCCGATTAATTTTCCAGTTGCTCTCCCACCCAAGAGACCCATCGTCTTCTCAATTTTTCCAGGATGGCACGCCCAAGGCGTCAAAGTCGGCGCCAGCGACAAGGAACATTCCATGTACAGGTGCCAAAGCTGCCGGAAGACCAATCTTTGACAGCCAAGGATATTCCGCGCCGCGGCCAATCGTGTGAAGTGCGATCGCATCCAAGTGCCTCTATGCAGTGGAATCAGAATGATACAGCGGCCATCAAACAAGGCCAGCCCGAGACTAGCACTGTTTCTCTCACAGTAAGTCAGTGTATGGCAGGAGGCACTTCGACCAGATCTTCTTGGCTATCTCAGCCTGTGAGTAAGCGGTAAGAACTCACGACCAGTCTTCCCAATTTGGAAGTTGTTACTAACGCACTGCTCTCAGACTGGTAAAACAATTGATTGAATGTTGCCGAGGGAAGATCGATACCATCTTCAGTAAGTTCAAGCTACAAATTTAGGAGCGCGCCGACTAATCTACGGGCTCGAACAACAGTCTTACAAGGTCTAAACTCACTTCTCGGAGTTCCAATGACAAACATCCCTTTCCGCGCACAAAATCTTATTCTCCAAGCCATACAGCGATATCTCGAATTCGATGCATTTCAATTCGTTCAAAAATGGCTCTTGGAGGAGTCTCTCGTGGTTGGGTGGACATGCCCAGAGGAACTAGAGCTACACAGGCTTTTCAAATTCTTGGTGGAACATCGGGACAAGATACGGTGTAGCTCTTGCCGTCAAGCCGCTATTACTATACAAAAATGGCAAAGAGTGGTTTCTGGCATCCGCCACGCTGCTGTCCACCGTCTTTCACAGGATCGTGAATCTCTTCTCCACATGACCCGTGTCGCCATTGAATTCTCTCTCTGTATCGGTGGACTTTCGAGCGTACAGAAGCTTCGCCGTCTCTTGAAGTTCCTGGAAGATAGACTCCCAAAGTCAGAGCGCCGTCGAACGCAGTCAAGACAGAACTTCAAGCACCAAGCTTCTTTGCCAAGACTGCGCCTCGAAGGTCTGAAAGACCGATTTCTGTTGCTGCCGAAACACACCCAGAAAGTTCTTCACCGGATTGAAGCAATGTACAACTTGGAAGTGGAATGGTTCCTGCAATCTGAATTCAGATGACACCTGCTCACTCGTTTCAATCTCTTGATGTCGAAATACCGACGTGTTGTTGACGTGTATCTAGCAATACACAGATGTGAAATGATTCGCTAAGTGGTCGAAAATACTGCGCTTGAATGTGGATCGACCATTGGAATCCTAGCGGCGGCTCAAGGGACGGACAGCGGATCATGGAGATTTGGGTTTGGAGCCCAGAGAAGAAATCAGAATGATCTGTTAGGGTCCAGCACAGACCGCGTGATGCCAGCACCGCTTCGGAACCGGCCTAAAAGCACACGGTCGTCATCCTGAAGGTGGGACTACGTGCATCGTGTCTGTGCGGCCAGGAAGCTGAGATATAGGCGAACAGAGCGTGCACTTTAGCAGCATTTGATAGGCTGGAGTGCTACATTGTGATGTCGAAGAAACAGTGGCCAACTATCTTGATATACTTGTCCTGGTTCATATTACTAAAATGAAGTCTGTGATCAGCGATGAACCCTCAGCATGAGAAATATAACCAAGGTTTTATATCATCTTATGTATCTATATAGATAGGAGCAATTGCCCTTTTTAGAATGAAAACAATAAAGAGAAAGTCCCAAAGTCAAAGGTAAGGATTCGAGCATGATGGTGGTGCCCTTGGAACAGGTCCTCACTCTCCGATGTGTCATGATGTCCCTCTCTTGCCTGCGGGCTTGAGTGTCTCCGTGGCCGCGGCTGTCGCTGCTCCGAGCCCAGCGATGTAAGACATGTGGTCCCTCGCTGCCCTGAGCCCCGCGAGTGTAAAAAGGTGCTTCGCAGGATAGGTCTGCGTGAACAACAGTCCTCGCAGGGAAGAGCGGCGCAACCAAGGACTTCAGAGCTTCCGTGACCACGGCTGTCGCTGCCACGAGCCCAGCGATGTAAGACTTGCGCTCCCTCACAGTCAATGAGCCCTGTGACTGTAAAAATTTGCTTCGCAGGATAGGCTCTGCATAAACAAGTGTGCTTCGCAGGATGGGCTCTGCGTTGCCAAGTGTGCTTCGCAGGGGATCGCTGCGTTAACAAGGCCCCTAGCGACGTGCAGGCACTTCTTCGTGGTGTAAGAGACTAGTATTCGAGTATTCCAGGAGTATTCGAAGAAGCAAAGACCTGCGCACCATCTTCTTAATCTGTCCTGTATTCCGAATGATCATTATTGGATAGATAGAATGAGTCCTAGATAGATCATCCCAAATCCAATGGTCAAAATTATAAGATCACAATTGAAGTGTCATTTTTATCAAAGGACGTATTCCCAATTGTTCTGCTTTGATAATTTGCGGAATTTTAGTCTCTTCGCCGTAATGGAAATTGGCATCCTTGATTCAGGCGTAGAGTAAACAGAACTGTGAGGGTTGTGCTGGGGTGCTTGTTTTGACGGAATGTTTGTTGTGATAAGCCGTGATGAGCCGTGATGAGCCCTGAGTGTTGGAGTGTTGTGTTGATGTGTTGGAGTGCTATGTTGATGTGTTGATGTGTTGATGTGTTGATGTGTTGACTCCTGATAGCAGCTCCGTGCATGTCCGAATACTGCCCTCTCGTTGGTTCGACCTTCCTCGGTCTGAAGGTAGTTTTGTATACGGAATGGGGCTCGTACTTAGTTTTGATTGGTATCAAAGCAAGGAATTGAAGAATCAGCTGAAAATATCGTATGTTGATGATGTGCACGAGGGAAAGCCCCCCAAATCAATCTGTGCGCTTAAATAGTGCTCCGTACTGCTGGCCAGAACTTAAACTTGAAAAATCAAGGAACCCTCCACTTCACAGCTCATTTCTCTATTTCACTCTCAAACTCCCAAGTACAAACCACGGCAGATATCACCTACACCTTTCAATCCCAAAATGAAGCCCCTCGCATTTCTTTTATTGCTAGTTGCCTTTGCCATCGCCGCACCCGTCGCCGGTTCTTCCGCCAAGCACTTTAGTCTCTTGGTGCAGCAAGACGAGCACCTGAAAATCAACGAAAATACGATCGCGGCGCACGACGCGGCGCTTTACACTGTCACAGAAGATACTGGTTTGGAGATGGTCCGGGTTCTGCTCTGCCATGGGCATATTGATGTCAATCTCAAAAACCATAGGCCCGAGGATCCTTTGATATGGGCAGCCAAGGGTGAACATCCTCCTATCGCTTACGCGCTCGTGGTGGATAGCAGACGGAAGGTTGGCAGTTTGAAGAGATCGCTGTATTTCGCAAGGAATCACTGTATCTGGAGGGCCATTCAGAGCACGATAGACCACAATACTCGTCAACCCTTTTTGGCGCGGTCGCCGAGGAAAAGGATTGGTGATCTCTAAGAGGCAACGGCATCCAGTTCAGGTAGCTCTCGTGACATGCGAGGTTGACTGTGCTCGACCTCAGTTGACATCAATACTCGGAATCAAATTTTGTGCATGCCCCTCTCCGAAAACTTTGTAGCCACAATAACATCACGGTAAAACTTTAACGATTTCTACTTGATGTAGAGCATCCACGTACCAGAGGTACACTTGCAGACTACCGTTATGAGATAGTTTTTGCAATGCTTTGTTTCAATGCTTTATCTGAGATTGAGCAATTCGCGGTGAGCAGCAGGTGATATCGAGCGTCAACAGTTGGTGTAATTTGGATCTCGACCCTCACGCCATCTGGCAAGAGTGCTCTGAGATACCGATATCGCCTCCCTGTCTCGCCAACGATCTCACTGATCCGCGACATATTCTCTCAAATGAAGGCGCGCATGGAGGAGGATATGAGTTTCGCGGGTATTCCTTGATCCAATCTGTCGGGCTTCAAGTGGACGGGTCTAGATCCTCTGTCCATCTCTTCTCAGACTAGCCACAATTTCCTCTACGTGTCAGCGTTTATTTTT